TAACCTTGCGTAAAGTAAGCACTTCTTTACTATTACGTAGTATTAATACTTGTACGTTCTACTATTAGTAGTACGCTATAACAGTAACCTAACCAAAAAGGCGAATTAGTTTTCATTTATCCATAAATTTGTATGAACCAATCTTACCTTTTACTTCGAAGTACAAATTGAAGGATAGTTTCTTTCATGGACCCTGGTCAAAATATTCGTATAAATGGAGGAAAGCGTTGTTGAAGGAAGGGCAACAAAGATCCGAGAACAAATTCACAAACCACTATGATGCGAGCCCTGATGAAGCGAGTGGTGCGAGGAGTGCGGCATGATGTTGAGAAGAGTCAATTTGTCTGCGAGGTTCGACGAAACAACACGGCTCAGATGTTGGGCTGCCTCATGTACAACATCAACGGCGGCGACATGGACCTGTACTTCACCCACGAACTGCGAGCCGGCCGCGGCGTGGCACGAGCATTGTGTGACGAAGCCTTTAAGTACGCAAACGACCACGACCTAGTCGTGAACCCCATCTACTCGTACGTTCAAAACGTGTACCTTCCAGACAGAGCCACTGCACGTTCGGCCACGTCACTACTTCACACAGGCGTTGCTGTCCATTGCTAATCCTACTCGTTTACCGCTCCTGCACTTCCACGATCTTACTATTGGACTACGATCATGGCGAGCATTCTACAACTTCACCAATTCGCCGACTTTCTATTGACAGCGATACACTTCTCTGTGCTAGTTCCCATCGTCAGGTCGTCAAAGGCTGTCTGTAATCAGGCAATAGTGATGTGTGTATACTCAATTGCTTGAATTAGAAGTTGCCTTATAAATGAAGCATTTATTGGGCAAACGTGGCAGGGGCAGCCACGGGTTCCACGGCCACGGCCACGGGCTCCACGTACGGGCGGTACACTTCTTCCTTGGGTTCCAAGATCGTGACCACGTCGTCGAGGTTGCGCTTAGGGCCCAAGCGACCAGTGGGGTCATGGGGCAACATGATGGACACCTTGACGCCCAACACACCTTGGCGCATCAACACGTGGCGGACGGCGGTGTCGACGTACTCCTTGTTGGCGTCACCAGTCTTGACCATGAATCCTTCCTTGAACTTCATGGCCTTGGCACGCTGCGCGCGCAGCTTACCAGACACGATCACTTCGCAACCCTTGGCACCGGCTTCGAGCACGAAGCGCAACACACCCATGGCGGCGCGGCGCACGGCGAGGCCGCCCAAAAGCTTGTACTTGAGGGATTCGGCTTGAGCTTGCGCACACAAACCGCGGTTGGCCACGCGTTCGGCGTAGAGTTCCACGGCGCCGTCGGCAAAGTTGAAACGCTTTTGCACGACCGACGTCAGTTCGCGGATGCGCTGGCCCTTTTCGCCGAGCACTTCCTGCGTCTTGGTGGCGCGGATGATGACTTCGGTGCGGAGAGGGGTCACGCGCACTTCGACGCCGGCATACCCATCTTCAGCCAACTCGCGTTGCAACAACTCGTTGAGTTCGGCGAAGAAGACACCGTCGGCGACGAACTTTCGCTTCTTGGAAATGTTAAGGGCCATCTTTAGTTCAAGCAAAAAAAGCAATTGAGAAGGGCTGCACGACCATGGTGACCAAATTGGTGGTGCACAGGAAAATCCTAATTATAATGCCTAAATAGGAAGGAGAATAGGATAATGCCTGGTGGTATGCAATCTCAACGGGTTTATTGAGTTTCACAGGGTCCGATTTCACGTCGCCGACGCCGACGTGACCGACGACAGCGATGCTAGGTGCGTGGAGTAGGGACACGATGATATGGATGAGACACACGATGGCATGAAGGAATACACATTACGTAGATACTCTGGTCTCGTTCATGTTCGTGGGAGCTCTCTGGGGATGCACAAACCCGTTGCTCAAACAAGGTAGCGTCCGCGACAGATTGAGATTCCGTGCGTAACAAGGGTCATGTGCCATGGTAGGTAGCGGCAGTGCAGCGTATCAGCGAACTAGCGACTCGTTTGGACAGTACGTGTATGAGTTTTACTGCACGCTGACCAACTGGAAGGTACGTGAACCGAAGGAGGCATGAGATATCGATCTCATGAATGTAGTTTATCATTCCATTCGCGCTCAATCAAAGTGGTTCCATTGCGTTCGTGTACTTCCTCGGGTCGTCTGGTAACCTTCCATTCTACCTTGATTCGTGCCGTGCCTTGGCTGACATCATTCATTTCTAGACATATCCATGGCCGTCCCCATCTGCAATTCATGTATTCATGCTTGTCCCTACTCATGCATCGTTGGCGAGGCGTCACAATGGTTGTAGTCACATTCGTCTTTACGGCCATCACAAGTCGCCTTCTGGGGGAGCGACCGAAACATCCCTATTGTGGGTCGACCATTGCATATGCGCCACTTCTAACCGCACCCATGCCGTTGTTCCCATAGACACGTACATTGGCATGTCCTTCGTGCTCCTCGGTGTCGCCATTTGCTTCCACAGCAAGCTTCCTGTGGCTAGGACGACCGATGATGTGTGATCGATCGCTTCATCATTGCAGCCATGCCGTTTGCAATTGACACGAGCATTCCGGATAATCGTCCGGATAATTCAAATTCATTCATGATGTTGGTGAACCAACCTGGCCGTGGCCGTGTGTGGGCGTTAAGAGTAGATGCCAGTGCGGCGCCGCCTTGTCTGAGTGCACGAATGGCATTCTTGAATGCAACGCGTGATGGATTTGAATGGCATGCGGAGGTGTCGACCCCCATGCACGTGTCGCTCGGTGGCGAGCTCATTAACGCTTTGTTCGTTGACGACCAAACTGACGGCCTTAACAGTCTCATTGTACTCACGAGAGTCTCCGCGACATCTGTGGCATTGCTGTATGTAGACGTGAACGAGGAAGAGGTTATCATCACGCGCCACCACACGCACACCCTTCCGTTGACGTGGACCGATGCATCGGTTGTGGCAGAGATCATGGACGGGCCCCATGTGTGGCTGGCATGTCCCTCGCAATCCGAGTCCCAATTGCTGACGGTCCAAAGAAACGAACTGCATGTGTTGTACTTGATCCTTCCCCAGCCCTATGCATTTCAATCCGCGCACTTGATTGCGAATGCCGCGGTGGACCCGACTACTACTCCCTCCACCAGCCTGGACTTGCATCTTCTCGTCCATTCCACAGAAAACGAGTAATATCTATCACTTCAGGACAATCTCTCCATGCATTGTTGTTGTAGGGCCACCACCCATCATTGGGACACAGTACCCCTACCTCGACCTCCCATGTCAGCACCACCTCGCCACCTCCCTTCGAAACGGCCATCGCCGCCTGTTCCACCAAGCCCGCCGTCGCCTCCGAAACGGTACTTGCCATCGCATTTGGCCATCTCGTGCGTGTACGTCGATCAGGCCGAGCCGTCTTCGCCCTCCCATCGCCTCCTCCTTGGCACCACCGCGCCATCCCTCGTTGAACTCGTACACGAGTGCGTGGTGGCAACGTTGCTCCTACCTGGCACTCCTCTGCACATGTATGCGCCCCACACTTTACAATCATGCAAGCCGTTGATGATGGCTTTATAATCACTATATATGGCCTAGACAACACGCCAATGTGAATCTCGATGCTGCGATCGAGCATACCCCCAACAACCACTCGGACGTGTACGTTGTCACATGCAGCAACCACGCGGTGCTCCTGGTCACAGCGTCGCACTCCACCCTGTCCATCGTTCAACGTACGTTTGAAGTGTCTACATATGTGTACCATCATCGTGTGGCAACTCACTTGTAGATTTTTCCAACGTTCACGGCGCCATTCTCAACGACTTTGCATGCGACGGAGGGGACCAAGTCCTGCTCGTGACTCACAAGCCAGAGGACGAACGGCGGTGGGTCCTCACGGACGTCATGTCGACGGTCGTTCAGGCGTCGGCGGCCAATGGCGGCGGCATCACTCAACACCGTACAATAAGTGACTCCATTTCTTTGTTTATCCTGGATGACAATAGCCTATAGATTACTCTCTTGTGACACCGTTTGGCCATCATGGCTGCTGACGAGGGACCATCAATCGTAGGGAGCAAGAAATCTAGGCGGAAGACGGCGCACGCCGACGACAACTCGATTCAAGTGCTGGTTAACAAACTGGCGGCGCCCGCCCAAGCCGACAAGGTACGTACGTACTACTAGTACCTACTAGTATGCACCTACCTACTCGTTCCACTTTGGTCTTTTTGTTTTGTCTCAACGGGTTCAAAAATGATAGTTGAACACGATTCAAACGGCGTTGGCGCTGCGGGCCAACGAAGCGCACGCCACAGTCGCGGGTCACCAGGCCATGGTAGTACTACTACCAACCCTACTACTACTACTACTACTACTACTCGAATCACCACAACAGAGTCTCTAACGACTGTGTGGCTAGCTCAACGTCAAGATGAACGTGTTAAGTATGCTGGAACACCAGTGCCGACTGCTCTGGCTTGCACACAACAGTCGCCACACAGTACCAGACCACGTCATCGATCACGAAACCCCTAGACTCCCCACGTTGCTACCACTCGTCCACCCATTGGACTCTTCCATCCCCCAACACAAGCCACAGGTTCCTCCTCTTCTCGTGCATCCGATGGTGTTGGAGTCCGTCGTCCCTGGAAGTGTCCAGCACTCGCCATCCAACTCGACACTGCATTTGGTCGTCACCGTACGCAACGCCTCCACGTACGTGCGTCCACCACTACTACTACTAGTAGTAGTATTACTAGTAGTAGTAGCCTGCTATCCGCGCAAAACTGATTGCTAGCTACTAGCACACTGTTAGAAAACGTCTCGGTGCTGCTGGCGGGTTCCAACTCAGAACTTGCCGCGACGACGACGACGACGATGGGGGGCAGCGATGTGTTGGCCTTGCTGGGTCCGCATGCCCGGCACGCGTTCAAGTGCCACGTGGCGCTCGCCCCGGGCCTCCACCGGCGCCCCCACGTCGATTTGCATGTGCTGGGGACATGGGGGGGCCAACCCGACTGCCTGCTGTTTGACGGAGGACGCGTCCGCGTTGATATCGCAGACATCCTCACGTTGCCGTGTGTCCGCGCCCCCCATCTCGGTATTCGTCACGTTTCTAGATTGGTATTATATATCCATGGGGTGTTTATATTGGAACGTCCTAGCCTCGTGCGAGTTGTTGCTGGTGACAAGGTCGTGCCAGTTGGACCAGTGGCTGCCCCCTCGAGCTGCCAAGGTAATGTATGAATCTATCAACACTTCACCTTATTCCGTCCCACTTGGCCTCTGATCGTGTGACTGCTGGCTGTAGTTGGGCCTCACCATCCACGCGATCAAAGCCGGCATGGCCGCAGTCACCGTGTCGGCACCGAACGCGGGTATGTTGGAGTGCCAGCTCCGTCAGGTTCATTCGGAACTAACCCCCCACGACATCTTTGCCCTCGAGAATCCTCTGCATCCGACCCACATCCAGTTGATTCAAGCAGTTCTGTCAGCCATGCAAACTGAACTCGCGTTCGAGTCGACGACGCAGCCAACGCCCGACGGCCGCGCCAGTGTCCAACTGGCGCTGGATCGAGCGATGGGTGACTTGCACCTCGCCATGAAGCGCCGGTCCGACCGGCTGCAACGGGGGTAGTAGTTGTAGTAGCTCGTTGACAATCATATCCAAAATGAATACAATTTATATTAACGTGATCAATCCATGGGGGGGGGCACGACGGGACACTGGGGGGTCGTCGTCAAGGGGGGGGAAGGAGCGAGCAAGTGGAGGTGCTTCTCGACGTGCCGCAGCGTCTCGTGGATGTCAACCAATTCCGAGTGGATATGCCGGATGTACAAGACCAGCAGCCCAATCACGGCCCACGGAATCACTACAACAAGTCAGTGTCCATTCAGCATTTCAAGACGTGCCATGCAAGCACAGCAATTGGTACCGATGGACGCGAGCCGCCGCCGTCGTCCGCCAGTCGGTCGATGGCGCGTCGGTTTGAGCGGCTCCAGGGCGGCCACGCCAGTCGCTTCCGCCGCGGGAAGACGTTGGCGAGTGTCCTTGGCGAAAGGGGATGTCGTGGCAGACGCTGCTCGGACTCGCTTGTGGGTGCGGGGAGACGCCACCTCGTCCTACCCATGCATGCCGTTCAACCGAGGGTGATGGCTGTATATGGGTGATAGAAGCTCCTACAGTGGAGACGGAGTCCAGAGACGCGGGAAAAGCTGGCAATCCGGCGGGGGAGACGGCGGCTTTGGCCAGTTCGAGCCACTCGACGCTCTTCTGCTTGCACTCGGCTTTGGCGCGGGACTCGATCAGACTACGCCACAGTGTCGACTTGACAAACACCACGCGCAGCTGCATCACGACGTCGCACGACGACGGCGTCGACCATGACATGATCATGCGGTCGTCCACTTTGAAGCAGTCGCCGTACGGAATGTCGTGCAGCTTCGTGGTCGTGTCCACGTGCATTGTCGTGTCGTTCACGTGGTATCGAGATTGCCTCTAACATATATATATATGACTATTCAACTGCCAATCTAGTAGTACCAACATCAATGTGAAACATATAAATATATATCCTTACGCACCACGTCCACTCGAGAGCTCTTTGGGCCAATGGGGGCGTCCACAGGCTGTGTAAATGTGACAGAGCGGGTGTACACTACCAATTGCAGCAATAACGTCATCACAGAAACCATCGAGAATGACATTGATGATAGGTCATAATAGTGCATGGGATATGGGAATCCACTTGTCAGGAGAATGACGTTATCTCTGAGAGATCCACGTACCCCTTCCATCTTGATCTGGCGTCCATTCTCCGCACACAATGTCCGTGGCGCCGCGGCGGCGGTTGGCCTCGGCGATGCCATAAATCGCCCGCTCGGAAAGGAACAAGTCGACAAATTCGTCGCTCGAGATGGCAAACGTGTCGTGCGCTACGTCCATGAATGGATGCTGGTGCTCGTCTGGAGTTAGCGGCGACGTGGCAACTGAGTTGCTTGACGATGGAGGCGGCTGGTCGGCCGAAGCAGATGCTGGTGGAGCTGGCGCATTGTCCACTGGGGGCGAGGGAGCGGCGGTGGCCGAGACCGGAGGCGGCGACGGAGCGAACGACAAGAGTGGAGACGCCACACCAAGAGACTTCTGCCGCAAAGCGACAATGATGGCGGCGCAGTGGTCCCTGCTTGGAGCATGCGGTTGGTCATGGAATTAGGTAGTACTGATGGGGTACCTGTTGTTTCCCCAAAAGGAAGAGAACGAGTACTCCTTTTGCGACACGGTATGGATACGCAACCCGTGGGAGAACATGCTGCTGGTCTTGCTCACGTCCGAGATGGTCGCGTAAGGGATAAGCAGTTTGGTCTCTTTGCCAAACAAGTTGGAGTAAAAGCACATTTGGTCACCGGCGGGATACATGCGACCGTGGTAGACGATGGTCGACACCAGCGCGCACGAAAAGTCTATGCACTAGAGGTTCACTGCGTGGTCTAGACGGCAAGACCTTACCTTGGTAGAAGATGGTCGAGTTGGGGAGATTGAAGATGGCGCAGATGATATCATCGCGGACATCGTCGTGCACGGGAGCCAACTCCACGCCGTCTCCCACGTCGACAATATCGTCGTCGATCGAGTCATTGCTCGACGACGTCGGCGACAGCATCGACGGCGGCACGGCGTCACTCAGCATCATAATGCCAAACGTCCAAAGATCAAATGAGTTCGGAATGTATGCGGTCGCAGAATCCACCAATCAGCATCCGTCTTTTCAAACGGCTTCAAGAAACTGCAAATATTTGAAAATATTTGCAAATGGGCAATGTGAAGTTGTGATTATTTGAAAATATTTGCAAATGGGCAATGTTGTGATTATCTGCAAATATTTGCAAATGGGCTATACAACGGAGGCAGTATATTCAAGCACTTGGTCCTACAGCCTGGCCGGTCGGTCAGTTGTGGCGGCAATCACAGCTTACGGACGCAAGCGTTTCTGCAAAAAAACAACCTCAGATGACAAGAGAGAGAGACGTGGATGGATGGATAGGGACGTACGGGGTCGCGGGGAAACATGGACGCCTTGCGGATGTTGCCGAGGCCGAGGAAGAGCATCACCACCCGCTCGAGGCCGACGCCGCCGCCGGCATGCGGCAACGCGCCAAACTTGAACGCGTCCACATACGTCTGCAGTTCGGTTTCCGGCACGCCGAGCGACTCCATGCGCTTCACGAGGAGCGCGGGGTCATGCACGCGCTGGGCGCCGCTGAGGATCTCCTGGCCTCGGATCATAAAGTCGTACGAGTTACTCCATCGCTACACCACCACCACATATATATCAGGGTTGACCATCATTCTCAATGGGAATGTATGCGGCTCATGTACTTCGTCGGTGGGGTCGGGCATCGTGTAGAACGGGCGCACGGACAGCGGAAACTTGTCCAAAAAGTAAAAATCCGTGTCATATTTGGCCTTGACAAGGGCACCGAGGGCCTTTTCGTTGGGCGTACTATATGAAAATTCCCGTTCATATATATATATATTCAAGGGTGTGAAATATCGATCGAGACGTTTGATTGGATGAAAATGGATGGTTGGGAGGTACCTCAAGTCTTCGAGCAGGTCCTGGTCGATCCCCGCCTCTTGCAGCATGGCCACCGCCTCGTCAAACTTGAGCACGAGCGTCGGGTTGCGGTACTTGAGTGGTTCAAACGGATGCTACGACCAGTCTCATATTGAACGGTGTCTCATATCGAACGGTGTCACATGTGATTGTCGTACCTGCTCGTTGATGATGTCGAGTTCGCGCTTGAACCTCGAGTTCAAATTGTCAAACACGTAAATGAACAGGTCCGAAAACACGTCCAGGCACTACAAGTTCGTTGGGATCGATTGTGAGCAACCAACCTATCCATCCCATTGTACCTCGGAGTAGTGCTCCTTGATGGCCATTTCCAAGTCGAGCCCCGTAAACTCACACAAATGGCGCGCCGTGAGCGAGTTCTCGGCGCGGAAGACCGGTCCGATCTCAAACACCTTCTCGAGGCCGGCACATGCGCACGCCATCTGCTTGTGTAGCTGCGGCGACTGCGCCAGCACGGCCGACTCGCCAAAGTACCCAAACCTACCCCCATCCAAATCCATGAAATATATATGTATATATATATTGTATGAGTGAAATTTCATTGTGCTGTGGCGTGGTTTCTCGTTGGAATTTAAATCGATTTGATTGGCTACTTCAGATGAGCTCAAAAGTATTAACCAATCAAAACTTTCTAAATGAAATTCAACCAATCAGATCGATTGTATATCGGTTCGGTCGGCGGGATTCGATTGCACCCCCAAAATTTGTATCAAATCGACAATATTGATTGGGTTTCTTCGAAACATGAAATGTGAAGGGTATAATTAGCCAATCAGATTGTACGAAATCCAATCAATGAGTCTGAAATTAGTGTGAGTACTACTACCACCACAGGCCAACAGCAGGTCGTGCAAAGAAACGATCGATAGATTTGGGGCGAATATCAGCACAAATTTCGTCCAAATTTGGGGATAAAAGGACAATAAATATATATCGTTGGGTCGTACGAGAAGCAGTTGGCGCCGCCTTCGCTGGCGCCCCCGAGCAGCTTGGGCGTGTGGATCTCCACAAAGCCCTTGCTGTAGAGGAACTCGCGGAAGAGCTGGCCGACCCCCGACTGGATGCGCATGATGGCTTGGTTGGCCGGTGTGCGCAGGTCCAGCACGCTACGAAAAAGACAACAGGATGAGGATCAAGGGAGAGGGAGCAGAACGGGAGCGGAACGGGATCAGAACGGGAGCAGAACGGGAGCAGAATGGCCTACCGGTTGTCCAAGCGCGTGTCCAAGCCCACTTCGACGTAGTCGGAGCCTTCGGCAAACACGAGCGTGTCGGACCGGGAGGCGTCCTCGACCTGCAGCGGCAGCACCGGAAGCGCCTTGCTGATGGTGAAGATCTTGGCCACGGACAGCTCGGCGTCGTGCTGGGTCGTGCCGGTGATGGGGTTCACGGGAACGATCACGGTCACGAACACGTCGACGACCGACTCGCGGGGGATGTCGGACGCGTACTTGATCAGAGCCTTGGACACGTCGGCGCTCTGGTTGCATGCAGCGTCAGATGGTGTGGATCCATGGAGAAAGGAAGGGGATGACGGACGTACTTCGGTGACGACGGCTTGGATCGTAAACGCGCCTTGACGCACAATCAAAAACGCGATTTTCGGCTTGGCGCGGCAGTTCTGCAAGTACCCGCGCACCCAGAACGACTGGCCCGCCAACGACTTGTCGATGTTCGCGACACTAGATACATGAGGATGTGAGCATGGATGGTGATGATTGTCGTGTGCATTCAACAGCATCGATCCATATGGCGTACTCGACAAACGTCTTGGTGGGCAGTTCCCGGGACTGGATCAGCGGCGCATCGCCAAACTTGGAAGGATCCGCCGAGTCCGTCTTGATGGCTGCCGCCGCTTCCTACGAAGGAATGTCAATCAAGGGACGAGAGTACGAACGCCATATGTGTGCATATAACGAACCGCGGCCTTTTGCTTTTCCAAAATGCGCAATTCCTTCTTCGTCAACTGTTTTTCCTTGGGGGCGGCGGCCGCCGCCGAGGCGCCAAATTCATGGCCCGCGGCTAACTTGTAGTCCGCCTTGAGCTTCTTCAGATCAGCGACTTGCGCCGTCACGTCCGCCTTTGCTGCCTTCAGCTCTCGGATTTCATTGCCCTTGGCCACAATCGCAGCTTCCAACGTGGCTGCGTCCATGATTCTCTCTGTCAAATTGTGGTGACCAGCTCTCCACTGTAAATGGGGTATCCGGATGTCACATATCCGGATACCATGAAACTCGTTCTTGTGGGCCAGAAGTCCCGATCAGTGACCATATCAAAGCATCATGCTACAGCTTCTAGTAACATCGATTATGCTCCGCGATCCACTTGGTTGCATGCGAGTTTTGGTGTCTGAAGAGGGAGTGGCGTACGCATCCGTTTGGGTTTTCCATCCAGCAAGCAGAAGATCCCAATAATCATGTGATTCTATTGAATCCGGCAAGTTGCGCTTTGAGACAGCGATGTACTTATACATTGCCAGGGCGGGTATACCTATGTTATGGCCTAATCGTGCGCAACTGTAATGGAAGCTCGCAACGGGTGAGCTAAACTGGTGCCGCATACGCCTGCCGGCCAACGACCTCTCTTCCATGGTCGCGAGAGGTCGCCAATGACTCGCGGCAACTTTGCATTCGTGATTCATGCATGTCCTTTTTCCGGTCAGTACTGTACCATTGGGTACATCTCCGGATCCGGATAAAGAAGAGAAGTCACCACAGAAGCGCATCACAAAACCATGACACGACGAGCCAAGGAGCAGCGCCAGAAGCGGCTGGAACTCAAGCGGACTGTGGAAACGGCCGAGGAAATAGAGAGACGACAGAAATGGACACTCCTACTCAAGCAGATCGACACCCCTGCGCGGCCGCGTACGATGTCGGCGCCACAGATGCTCACGTGGCACAGCAGTCATGCGGTGGTGGCTGCCGCGGGCAAGTTTGAGTTGCCTGTGCGCGTGGAGCATGCCGGGTCGGAGCTGTCGTACACGTTCAACACGAAGGATATGGACATCAATTTCTCCATTACGTTTGCAGGAACAACGTCGGAGGAGTACATGGTGCATCCCACTCGATGCGCGTCGCACGAGAGCACCATCCGCGGCTGCCACAAGGTTCCAGGCCCAGGCACAGTCGTGCTGGTTTGGGACAACGAATACTCTTGGATCAACAGCAAAGAGCTGAGCTACCACGTCGGACTCGCCCAGACGTCGTCACCACCCACTGGCGTCTCCGGTCGGTCATTGCTAGAGGGGGAGCTGCGCACCCGACAGGCCAAACACAGAGTTCTCAATGAATCGTACGACAACTTGCGACTGCAATGCACCAAGCGCGCCGCGGCCATCGACGCCATCGAGCGACAGCTAGAGGTATTATGCCCGATTCGTCATCCATCAAGCTTCACCAATCGTCCTCATGGCCATAGGAACTCCAGCAACAATTGCAACAAGAAGCGGACCTGCATGCCATGGAAACCACCGAGGCAGACCGTGTTGGCCGGGAAGTCGACGTCGTGGCTGCAGAACTTGCTGGTTTGTGTGGTCCAAACTGTATGATTTACAATCTGCCGTTGTAGCGCTATCCTGGCGCACACTGTCGCCGGCTTCGTTGGCGCATATACTAGAGTTTTGCCCACGGGACGACTGGAAGCAGTGGTTGGTCTCCTTTTGTTACAACATCGTTATCCTTTGACGTTAAACTACGTTTTAGGTCCACGCTAAACCGAGCGTGGCACGCCACCCTCGCCCCCCTGCTTCGTGCCAAAGCCACCTAATGTTATTCGACGGTGGTCGTCAAATGTTATCCGTCAATCCTGGCAGGGCCAACGTCGATTCCAGCTGCCGCAAGAGTTGCCTACGCACTCCCCAATTTATATGGCAACACTGCACTGCATGGACGCGGCATACTAGTAGTAGTAGTACTACTACTAGCAGTACTAGTAATACAACGAACACAACGTACTTGGCATTTGCCATCCCATCGGCCGCCTTCTTTGCCAACACACTCGTAGGCTTAGCCGCGGCGGACTCTACTAGATTGCCCCTACATTTGTCACTTTCAAAGCTACTTACATAGGTAGATGGTAAACAACATATATCCACCTACTTGGCCACCTCTAGCGAGTGCTGCATCGTCGCCGTGGCGTCGTCTAGACGTTGCAATTGCGAGGCAAACCCTCGATCTAGTAACCCACTGAGGCCCCGCCTTCGGTCCTCCATCTGCGTAATCAACTACACATAACCTACGATCAACTAACCATACTAACTAGTACTACTACATCATCATCAACTGGTAGTATGTACGTATGTACCTCGTGGGAGTGTGCAAACTCCGAGTCGATCATATCCGCCAATGATTCAATGTGTTGCAGGCGTTGACGCATGGTTTGCATTTGCTCCTTCATTGACGTCACTCGACCCCCAGCAACCACATGCCTCGTACTACCGACCTCTCGGTGCTCCTCTGTTCCATCAGTTCGAACGCCCCCTTCAGCATCATCGGCCCCCACATTCTCGTACGCTTCCAACAACGGGTCCGCGTCGTGACTTGCTTCGTTGGAGTTCTCGACGATTGTTTGGTTGTGGTGGAACAACGTGGATGCTGCTATCCCATCACCACCATCAGTCTCCTTATCTTCTCGTGTTTCCAGACGAGTTCGATACACGATCGCGGCGGACGATGATGCGTCGGACCGACTCAAATCCAAGTCGGCTACATGCAAGTACCCCCCATGCCCCCGCTCCGAGTGTGGCCCAGGTTGGATGGCCACGTACACTGGAAAGTTGGGAGCCACGTTCCTCGTGTTTGGTTGCCCCTGCATCCTCCCTTCCGAGGAGTAACTGACACCTTGGGCGGAAGTCTGCGATGCGTTGTCTGTGGTTCGAGTCGTCATGGTGGCCGTGCTCGTGACCGACACTTTCGGTGCTCCTGACGATATAGCCTCGGCAGTCGAATCAAGAGTGTTGGTACTGGGGCCACTCTCGACGGGCAGTGCCATGCGACATGGTTCGCCATTCACGACTTCGAGTGGTGGAGGTGTGGTTTGCGTGCCGCGCGCCGCGATGTCGGTCACGCCATTCGGATCGGTTACGAAACCGGACGACGAAGGCGCGGCGCTGAAAAAGTCGCGGGGCCGCAATGACACCCGACAAGTCGGATTCTCAACGCTGCTGTGGCACTTGCGCAAGAGCTTGAGGGCCACTAGTGGGGGTGGACTGACGTCTTCAAATACAAGCGGCTGGACGGCTCCTCGTCGGACAGGGGCGGGCATCCGCGGGGGGGTTGATGGCTTTACTGATGTCTCGTGGCTCCAGGTGTCAACAGCTGACGAGGCCGTGACATGTTTGGCTTTCTGTAGTTGCAACAACTTGAGCACATTGGCCACTGACGACGACGCCGACGTCTGCTGTTTCATGCTGGAATCGGACAACGACCGCCGCGCTTGCATGAGTTGCAACGGGGGTTGCCTGGACGGCGCCGCCTTGGATGATGGTGCCAGCAGCGAGCTCGTCCGCGCGGCGGCATCACTGACATCGGTCGCCCCTCTATCTTTTGCTACTTCTTCTTCGTGTATTGTTGTGTGGATGGTGCGACACCGTTGCACTGGAACCGTCTCGAGGTCGGTCAAGGCCGTGCAAAACGCCCAAAACCATGGATCCCACGCTGTCGCATGGCCGCGGCGGTCGGCCATCCACGCCCGAACGGCTTCTACCGATCTCTGGCTTGTATGACCAGCCTGATCACACATGGCGACTAGCGCCGCCGTGCGTTTGGCCATCACGGCCTTGGTCCCGACCGACAGCACAAACGCGAGCGCGTCCACGACCTCGCCGGGACAGTCGCGCACGGACGCGGCCAAGTGCTGCAGCTGGGCGGTGCGAATTTCAACGTCCGACTTGCGAAACACCGCCGCGGACGAGAGGCGCGCGAGGTGCCAGCAGCCGTGCCGGGGACGAGGATGGAGGTGGTTTTGAGCGGCCAGCTCCCGGACGATACAGGCCCACGCGGTCGCGGCGAACGCGGCCAGAAGCGGACTGGATTGTGACGAGGTGGCGGTGGACGGATGATCAAGGAATGGCCAGATGCAGTGGGGGTCAACTCGATGGGCGAGTTCGAGTTGCCCGACGGATGGCGGAACCGAGCCAAGACTGGACATCACCGACGGGGAAGGGAGAAGGATGAGCAGGAACCTCTTGATGCGGCGGAGGGTGTCGACTGCAAACTGCGCCGCGATCATTTCGTCATTAGAAGAGGATGCGACAAGGTCTAACGGGATGGATGGTTGCGTCATCGTGTATAGCCGGTAGATTTGCGACATGCAGAGCCCCGTGGGTGTCGTCGAGGTCGATGGTGGTGGACATTTGGAGCCAGTGCAATTAGGAACATCGTTCAAACTCTGTCTGTTATCAAAGTGCTTGCGGCGGGGATGATACGGAAGCAACGGCATGGACGCGTACATGCGACGGAGTTGCCGCATGAGACAGCGCACGACAAGGGGGACGTTGTGGGTGGGCTGTTGGCGGCACACGGTCGACACAAACTCGTCCGTGTGCGAAGTCGAGAATTGGAGGCACAATGCAAGGAGAAACGGAACCGAGTCGGAGGCCATGGCCAATACGATGGCGGTTGAGAGCGACCATTGGGGGTCATGGGGGCGACTGCTGCTTCCTGTCTCCCACATGGTGAGCGCCATCAACGGAGGACTGTTGTTGCCGCCGACTGCATACGGAAGCGAGGGCACGAGCGGTGTGAGCTTTACAAAGTGACATGTCATGACGACAGCCACAAGGCGAAGGTATCGCAGGTCTTGGGGGTCGCGTCGAAGTAGCGCTTTGTCTACAAGGTAAAACACTTTGCGCATGTCGTACAGAATCGGAACCCACGACGAGAGTTCATGGGGCGAGGCAGCAAATGTATGGTGGTAATATGAGGCCAAGGTCGGGGCCCAAGGAGGGTGGGCGAAGGGGAGAGGGGATGCCTGGGCATGCCGCATCGAGTCGATGGCGGTGCAGTACCGAAGGGACATGAGCGATGACATTGGCTTTGTCGTGGGTGTCTGCGACGGTGTTTCTTTCAAAAGAGCGGCGAACGTGTCGACGGTGGCGGGCGAGAGGGGCTGGAGGTGGCGGAGGAGCAACCCGAGCAGCTGGCGCATCGAGTGAGGCCACGACAGGTGCAGCCCATGCATGGCCAGCGCTGTGAGTTTTGGCAGGAGGTCTTCTCGGTGGGAGACGCAGACGATCTTGGCCAGATGGACAAAAGCTGTTAGCCATTGGGCAGGCGGGGTGTCGGTGGGACTCTGACGGACAAACTGGTTGATCAGGGGCACAAGGGATGGTAGGGGCGAGTGCAGTCGTAGAAACGGATGCATAGAGCTAATTGTGGGTTGGGAGGAGGTGTGGAGGGGTGCTGAAGCTGCAGCAGCATGCGCGATGGTTGACGGTGGTGGTGGCGTCGAGAGTTGGTACACGTGCAAGGTCTGTTGGTCGTACACGAGAAGGTTTTCAGAGAAACACGCAAGTTTCTGTGATGGCGTTAACGGCGCCTTGAGGAGCATGGAGGGTCCACCAATGAGTTGGAGACGGCCTATAGGTTTTGTTGCATGGGGATTGGCATGCAAGAAGGAAAACGTACCGTCAGGGTAGCTGAGATACAGGCCACGGTCGCCCCAGGTGCACGAGGTGACGGCATCGGCAGCTTGCGTCGAATGTGTTTGGGAATGCAAATCCAACGTGACCACGAAGGTGGACGTGTGGATGGCCAGCGCATGCCTTGAAGCTTGGAAACATACGTCCAGGACCACAGAGCCATGCTCAAGAGAGATGGAAGTAGCCTTGGCCGCGACCACACGGCAAGTCACGTCGTCCAGGTCGAAGTAGTCGGTTGTGCATATTAGGTTGACGTTGCCATCGTCACTGGGCCGCGTGATGACAGATCCAACGAGAAGGAGGGAGCCCAGTGTCCGTGACTGGGAGATGGCGTGCCAAGGTCGAGCAGACGGATTCTGCAGAGGAAGATGCAAAGTTAACCATGTGCCGTCTGTGGTTTGCATGCGCCTTCGCCACACGTGGAGGTGGTGCAGGGACTCGAACACGACGTGGGACGCTCGTCTACTCACGGCTACGCATTCCATGTGAGAGGTCGTGTCAGGGAGCTGAATATGGAATTGCTCTAGAGTTCTGGCGTCGACGACGTAGCACGCGGTCTGTGACGCATTGCTCCACACTGCCACGTCCTTTAGCGCGTTCCAAGTGACGTTTCTTGGTCTATCGGGCAATTCCATCGACGTCCATGCAGCATTCTCTGATGCGCATTGGGACCGCTGTAGGTGCGTCTGTGTGAGAGCAACGACTTGATCGGTGTTAGCCAGGTATGTGGCCGCCACGAGTGCCTCGACCGTCCTGCTCACGTGGAGCTCCATCTTGGTGCCCAAAAGATCCGAGAAGGCACTTTTGAAATTATCCGAAAGTCCGGAAAGCATCCAACCAATCATACTCCACTTCATTAAATGAAGTAAATCATGCCGTTTATTAATAATAAATGAGCTATTCGACCACCAGCATCAAATTCATACTTCGAAGTTAACAGCACCGTTGTTGGCACTGAAAGCAGCATCATGACAGACAAGTTGGCCAGTCAGCGCGCCATCGCAGACGCGTACTTTGCGGCCACAGCGGCGCCATCGTGGACTGCCGAGGTAAAGAACGAGCTGGAGACCTTCCTGGCCCACCAGACAAGCATCGGTCGCTGCGTCGTCGTGGTCACGTCCGGCGGCACGACCATTCCGTTGGAGCGTAACACCGTGCGCTTCATCGACAACTTCTCGACAGGATCTCGAGGCGCGTCCTCGGCCGAGTAAGTTATCCTTGTGCACACGACCATGATCATCACACGCGCCTAAACGAGTCATGCATGAGCAACAGGTACTTTGTCAAGTTAGGGTACGCCGTCGTGTTCCTCCATCGGCCTGGTTGCGTCATGCCATTTGCGCGCCACTTCCAAGTAGGTCATCATGACTCGAACATGATGATCGTTCTCACCACGTTTGCTGCCATGTAGAAGTCTATGGGGCGCGATATGAGTTTCCAGCTCCTGGAGCATCTCGCCATGGCCAAAGGTATACAACCAGCCAACGAAATGTGCCACGAACCTCATGGCTATTGTCCAGATGGACACCACATGGAGATCTCCAGCGACGATCGCGTGAGTCAAGCTAGATGTGTGGACGCGCTCAAGAGCTACAAGCAAGCCAAGCAGCTCAACATCCTGCACCCGATCTCATTTGTGTCTGTGAACGACTACTTTTACGCGCTCCAACTGGTGGCGGCGGCGGTGGCCCCTCTCAAGGAGCGCGCCGTCTTCTACCTCGCCGCCGCCGTCAGCGACTTTTACATCCCCGACGCGGAATTGGTCGAGCACAAGATCCAGTCCCACGCCACGGTGGACCAAGGGCTGTCGTTGCAGTTGCAAAACGTACTTACTTACTTTTCCCTGGCTTTTCATTAGATCTGAACGTTGCTCTCCATAGGTGCCGAAATTGCTGGGGTTGCTGCGCCACGTGTGGGCACCAGACGCGTTCTACGTGTCGTTCAAGGTTCACTTTAACCTGTTGAGATCTTACTTTACACGTTGAATTAGCTTGAAACCGACGAAACTATCTTGAAGCAAAAGGCGCAGGCGTCCATTGACAACTATGGCATGCATTTGGTACGATATGTTGCCGATCATCAAGAGCGTTGATTTAGCGGTGCTCAATGCAATAATGTGCCATTGGCTTCAGATTTTGCAGTGATGTTACCGTCTAGTTTCAGCAATTTTAGTGACATGATATGGAATTTACTGGTGCTTTTCCATAGGTCGTGGCGAATGAACTCAAGACTCGGTTCGACCAAGTGTGGCTGATCACAAAAGATGCCCATACGCGGCTCGACAAGCCCGAAGACGACCTCGACATTGAGCTGGCCCTGACCAACGCCGTGTCGGAGATGCATTATGGCTTCCTCGCCAGTCGCCATGTGCACTTGCCGACGTCGTTGCCGCCTGCCGCCGCTGGCACCAAGCCCTGGGACGCCCCGTTGCGTACGCTGAATCAAGCGGTGGACGAACACAAACACGAAATCGTCGCAGTGCTCCTCGGGGGAGCTATCTCCATGTTGATTCATCTCGTCCAGAGACAATATTTGAAGTAATAACTACTTCTTTTGGTCGTGAAGCATGCCGCCAAGGCAGGAAGGAGACGGTCGCACCGTGTTGTTGGCAGCCCACTGAGTCGGGGTCTTGCTCTGGATCGACAAGGCATGCACGCCGCCGTCCAATTCCGCGGCCAACACCTGGTTCACGAGGCGATGCCGTTGGATGAGAGGCTTGCCTTCAAACTCGTCAGAGACCACCACGACCTACATAACGACGATATGTCATTAGTCACCACGTCCAAAGGAGTGGACGGACGGACCTTGAAGTGGGTTTCAGATCCCTTGGGGACGTTGTGCATGTAGCTTTCGTTGAGCACTTCCAAATGCGTGGGCTGGAACGCGTCTTGGAGTTTCTTCTGAATAGACGTGTAGATAGCCCCTTGTTCCGTCATTATCTTCGCCTAGGGAGCATCGTAATGGCTTCGGATGAAGTCGAGTAGACTTACCGACGTCGAGAAAGTCGCACCGATGGTCCGTCCAATGGAGAAGTTCATGTGCAAATGAAGTTTTGTTGCATGCGTCAACCGGTTCCATTATCCGGATATGCCAATAGTGCCACGACACTATTTAGTGACAACCAATCGAAAGTCTAAGTCAACCTAACGACACGACCGGATAATTTACGGATCATGTAATTAGTAGTCATATATGACCAGACTCTTAAAATAACATAATTCAAATCTATCTAATTATGCATAAATCGTGTGCATATTGTACCGCAGGAGTCATCACGTTGGGACGATACACATTTTATTGCAATCTCACCTTGCGCATTGGATTCCTAGTTCGGCCGCGTTGGCATGTTCAAATCAACTTCGACGATTGCCCGCGGCGTTGGCCGCCTCTCGAATATGGTGCTGACAAAAGGCAGCGGGTCGTTTGTGTGGAACATGGAGGGTCAAAAGCTGCTGGACTTCACCAGTGGCATCGCAGTCACGTCACTTGGTCACTGCCATCCCCGCATCGTGGAGGCAGTTCAGAAACAAGCGGCGGAATTGGTGCATGGGCAGGTCCGTTGCATTGATATAAACATCGAGTTGAATACTCTTTGTAGACGTCCGTGGCGTACCACGAACCAATGCTAAAGTACGCCTCGGCCTTGCTCCCCTTGCTCCCTCGGCGTATGGATTCGTTGTGCTTCTTCACGACGTAAGCATTGCTTGTTCTATGGACGCTTTCTTATTTGTTGATGATATGCTAGTGGGGCAGAAGCAGTCGAAAATGCTGTCAAGTTGGCTCGACATGCGACGGAAAAGCCGAATGTGATCGTGTTCCAAGGGGGTTTCCACGGCCGAAGTGTTGGAGCCATGTCCCTCACCAGCAGGTCGGTCCAATTAGTTTCGCCTGTTTTGCTGCAAATTGTTTGCGATATGGTAGCAAAACGATCTACAAAGCTGGCTTTGGCCCCCTTATGAGTGGCGTGTTTGTCATGCCGTACCCTTACACCCTTCACAGCCCCTTCTCGGATCCAGGTGCTTAGCGGACCCTACATGCCGATCTCATCATCACCAAATATAGCCGAATGCAGCGCGTGGTGTTTGGAGCAGGTGGAACTAGCTCTCAAGCAACAAACCGCACCGTCAGAAACAGCAGCGATGCTGATTGAACCAATATTGGTAAGTTGCACTTTACAATCCACGCGTCAGTCTAGTGATGTAGGGGGAAGGGGGGTACGTGGCGCCGCCCCCTGGCTTTCTCCAAGGGCTGAGTTCGCTCTGCTATGAGCATGACATCCTCTTGATCGCAGACGAAGTACGATGCACACGTGTCATACGAGGATATATACTATCGAGGATGTTGTGTAATATATTGCTGTAGGTGCAATGTGGATTTGGCCGAACGGGGTCCATGTTTGCCATCGATGGACAGTACGATGTGGTTCCAGATATTTTGGTGATGGCCAAAGGCATTGCGAACGGATATCCTTTGAGTGTCATTGCAAGCCGCAACGAGTTGACCGATCTCCAGGTCCCCAAATATATATTATCCCATATATACTACTATATCGCACTATTTAACGACACACTATTTATGTTGTAGCCACCGGGGTCGATGGGGGGCACGTATGCAGGAAATGCTGTGAGTTGCGCTGCTGCGCTAGCCACATTGGTTGGTCAAAGCACGTGAGCCACCCTTGGTAGTAACCACGACCACCGTAGGATGCTTTTGAAGAAGAAAACACCCTCATCAACGCGAGCGTCCGTGGAGCCCAATTGGTGGCTGGGTTAACGAAGTTGCAAGATTTGTTTCCGATCTTGGTTAGCTAATCTCACCATTCTCGTCGACTGTGGCGACGTCTCAAAGGGGTGGTGAATGTGCAGGATGTCCGCGGCGTGGGGCTGATGGTCGCCGTGGAGTTTGACAAGTCGGTGCCCCCTGGCACGGTGTCGCGTATTTGTCAAGCGTGCGTCGAGTACGGCATGCTGTTGCTCCCGACGAGGTAACCGCTCGACTTCGTCGACGATTCATGCTCAATCTCGATTTGTAGTGTGTTCGAAACCGTTCGTTTCATCCCACCCCTGAATGTCTCGGAAGGTGAAATCGACCTGGGGATTGCCATCTTTGCGAAAGCCATGTCGCAAGTCCTGGCCCCGTCGACCCCCCAGTAGTGTGATTACTGTGGTTAAGAAGGCCATTGATGAAACCGATATGCTCTTTCGGGACCACGTGGGTCAACCGCTTGAAACCGTTGGTTGTCTTGTGAATGTAACTCCGTAGTTCAAGCACCCAAGATATGATAATGCTTGTTCATGCGGCAGAGACTTTCGTGTGCTTCCAAATCGTACAACCTGCGTTAGCTACGATATGCCAATAAGTCCATGCAACCACTTCCCCCTATCAACTACTCCGGAGTACTACGTAGTACCTCGTCAGCCTCATACAACGGAATGAGACTCATAAACTCGAAGTTTTGGTGCGGAAGTTTCAAAAACGATCTTATCTCAAAAGGGCCAATAACGCGCGTGCGGGAGACGCAGCGAGTGCCGTTGGTGCACTTCTTTACATGTCTCGCGTCGCATATCCATCGGCATTCTCTGTTTGATGCTCCTGCTGTGGCCGCTCTCGAGAATCCTCTCATCCCCACGTAATGCAAAGTCCCCCAAAGCTGTGGACGGCGATGATGCCTTGACAGCCCGCCTCGCGCTGGAGCGGACCGCTCTGCAAATGTCCACCAGTCGCCTCAACTGGGAACTCAAGTTCGACACTGTCAACCCCCCTGCCAACTCGTTTTGGAGGCGCCGACGCAGCGACAGTAGCTCCAGCCATCCCCCGTTTGGCCACTCTCTTGCTTGCATCAAGTTGCACGTCGAGGTCGCTCTACACGAACGCGCGATCACAGTGCTATCGACTGTCCCAGCTACAGTTCCATGGCACCACCACCTTCGACGAGATGTTCTTTATCGCACCCTGGCGATCCAGGCCAAGTGGCTCGCTGCAATCTTGGCTCACGCCAAGTCCGAACTTGGGTCGTCTGCGGCCTTTCGCCGCCGATCTGCCGACGATTACGTGACGTCGCCGCCCCAACTCATTCGCGCGTGGTCGTTCCACGACGACATGGTGCCCACGTTCTGTTCGCATCGTGAGACAGTGTCCAGATGGCACACCGTCCTCCAACTCTCCCCCCAACAAGTGCTCCCCCCCACCGACCAAATGCCGTCGAGCCATTACTTGTCGTTCGAACTGTTCTTGCTGGAAACGTGCTTTGACAAATCCGACATCGGTCAACGCCTTCGGCACATCGCGGCCACCGCGTACGCGTCCCCCCAGCCACCCTCGATGCCCCCCTTGCACCCCCTCGTGGATCAAATCGCCAATCACTTGATCCACGAACACGGGCTCGTTCCCTCCTGTCGACGCCCCACCCTCAACGCCCTCGTGCGCCAGATGGTGCACATCCGACTAGCCTCCGCGTACTATCGTATCTACGCCCCGACGTTGGCGTCCGCCGCCCGGCGGTACGACTTGCTCAAGCCCCGGATGCACCAGCTTGCGGTCCAGGACCTCGCTGAAGTGCACGTGCAGCAGGAACTTGCGTTGCCTCAAACCCGGGCGGCGTTGGAAGCTATGCCGACGTTCATTCCGGACACTATCACGGGTTCGTACATGTCGGCAATTGGCACGCTCCACGCCGAAGTAGGAGCGGCACTTCAAGTACCACCGTCGTCACTGTCGGCGGACGTGATCTTGCCGTGTTTGGTCTTGCTATTTGGCCAAGCTAACCTGCCGCACCTCGCGCTGCAAGTGCACGTGATGGAAATGTACTTGATGACGCATGGCGAAGGCGAAGTCGCGTACTACGTCGCGCTCGCCCAAGCCGCCCTCGGGGCCACGTAACCATAGATTCCAAATGCACAACAAGAGGTTAAATTATAATACTACGCTGCTTTGACGGAATAGCATCAGCAGCTTACGACCGGCACTCGTCCGAGATCCACGCAAAGATGTTTTGTCGCGCCGAGTCCAAGTCTTGACACAGCGTCGCATGCATTATGATATGATGTTCAAGAACGGCAACACGCCACTTGATATAAGAACATACCTAAAGCCCCGCAGCGAGTAAACCACGGCGCCTGGAGCAAGTCATCCACCGAGGCGCGGTCCGTCGGCTACATACATGTTGCGTTCGAGATTAGTACTCGGTAGAAAGGATCATGGCGCTTCCGTGGCCTGGTACTGACCGATTGGTGTAAACAGTATCGCACAAACGCACAAAAGTCAGGCGGGAAGAACGCTACGAAGCGTCGAGTACAGGTCGACGTCGTAGGTCTCAGTACCTTCGCAGAGGGAAGGCGGGGGGGACTCCAACACGCTTTGAATCATCTAGTTTGAGTGTGAGCATATACAAACACGAGACGTTTTTGACATAACCATACATCGATGGTGGTCTTGGGTTGCTGGTACGGGTATTGGCCCGTGGCGCTCTCGATGAGCACGAGGCCAAGGCTCCAAATGTCGGACGAGTAGCTGCATCAAGTAATCATCGGCATTGTTCAATCTTGACCGTCCGTTCGAGTCATCCACATCCACCCACCTGTACGGCTTGTGTTGGATGCGCTCGGGGGACATGTACTTGAACGTGCCCACAAACGATCCGCACATGGCTGGCAAAAAGGCAACAACAGCAGTGAGGACATTTGACGTTTGTGATACAACAACAACGATGTTGAAGTGGTTTTGTGTGTGTGTGTGAACGTTACCAACAGAGTTGTGCAGTTCCGTAGCAATGCCAAAGTCCGTGAGCTTGACCTCGCCCTTGCTGTTGAGTAAAATATTGGATGGTTTGATGTCCCGATGGACGCGCTTTCTGGACTTGAGGTAGCTGAGGCCACACAGGATTTGGTATGTGATGTTGGCGAGTATTCGCTCCGGTAAGGCGCCAAGCTGATGCACGACGTTCTCCAACGACCCGCCGTCCATGTACTCGAGAGCGAGTGCGACCGCGCTGTCTTTGAGGAACGCGCCGTAGAATGTCACAAGGCACAAACACTGATGGAGCATGAGTATATACATGTCGCAGAGACCACAGACAGACTTTCGACGCACCTCCGAGTCGAACAAGGCGTGGATTTCACGCATCAATTGCTCGCGCTTCCCTTTGTCGTTCATGTTGATCAGCTTCAAAGCAAGGATTGTGCCCGAAGGACGATGACGAGACTTGACAACGGTGCCACTGGCACCTCGACCGATCGTATCGCCCCAATCCAGCTCGGACGGGTTCACTGTGAACGCACGACCTGTGCCCTTCATCACGACACCGGTGGACGTGATCGCGAAGTTTCCCTTGACGTACGCATCGGCGCCTGCAACGTACGAGTTGTTCATGGAAGCGTCGGCTCGTGGGACGACGTTTCACCCAAAGATTGTTGAAGCCAATAACCCGGGCATGATCTTAAGCAAGGTCGTGGTGACTTTTGATGATCGCTGAAACCGTCGCATGGTTGGAAGACTTTTGACAGTAAATATCCTGTATCAAATGTATATTAATTGCCACAGGTTAAGTTGACTCTATCGCGATACCCTTGTGGCAATGGAGAATGTGCCTCTATCTTTCGATGCTTTCGCGGACGTGTTTTTAATATGAACCTCAAGATCTTTATACAACAAGCAAGATATATCAAAAATATTAAAACAATACGAGGCCGCATCGGAATGTTGGCTTCATCGCCAGAATGTTGGTTCCTTCAAGTCATACACACACCTCGTTGCCCAAAACCCAACACTTCTTCCCGCACTCACACGGACGTCCTTCCTTGACATCATGCTGGCAGTGCAGCTCAAGCAGACGAGCTCGATTGACGTCATCAAGCCCATGCGGGCGTACCTGAGCAACGAATACTCGGAGGACGAGGCCAAGAAATTCGACCCGGCCCTCGAGTCGTTTGCACAGATGCGAAAAGACGTCGAGTTGGTGCGCACGCCGTCGTCGATCTCGCGTCAAGTCCTGCTTCGGTACATCGCGCAACTGGACCTCATCAACACGCGATTCCCTGTGAGCGATACCAAGGTGAAGCTGCCATTCACGTGGTTCGACTCGTTTTGTCCGCGCCAAAAGTTGACGCAATATTCGGTCCAGTTCGAGCAAGCGGCCGCGTTGTTTCTTGTGGGGGCCCTCGACTCCCAAAGCGCCGTCGCGTGCGATCGATCCACCCCCGAGGGGATCAAGGCGGCGTGCAACTACTTCAGTCAGTCCGCCGGGGCATTTGCGGCAATCCAATCCCTCGGCCTCACGGCGACGACCACCGTCGACATGTGTCCGGAAGGCCTCGGCATGCTGGTGAACCTCATGCTCGCACAGGCCCAAGCGTGCTTCTACGAGAAAGCCATCAAGGACAAGATGAAGGATGGCATCAAGTCCAAGCTCGCGACGCAAGCAGTCGCGTTTTACTCGTCCGCGCTCGACTTTTGCAACTCGGCGGCCATGAAGGCGGCCGTGGACCGCTTGTGGAGCATCCACATCCAGTTCCAAGTGCTGTGCATGAAGGCGGCAGCGCAATTCTGGCAAGGAAAGGCGTCCAAGGAGGTCGCGGTGGCCAAGGGAGCCGGCTACGGCGAAGAAATTTCGCGCCTCGCGACCGCCGACGCCCTCTGCGGCCAAGCGATCGCCCTCGCCACGCAAAGCAAGTTGCCGCCGTCGCTGCCGGCGTCCGTGCGCGCGTTGCAGGCCATCATCGTGGAGACCCTGAACAAGGCCCGCAAGGACAACGACACGATCTACATGGAGACGATCCCAGCGTTGGCGGCGCTGCCGACGCTCACGGCGGCGTCCATGGTCAAGCCCATCGTGCCCGAGAAGGAGCGAGCGGTCGACTTGTTTGAGGGGCTCGTGCCCACGTGGCTGCGGCAAAAGTGCGCCGACAACGACGCCATCTACCAAAGCCTCGTCACGGCGTCGGCGTCACAGGTATTGTTTTTTTACTTTTTAAATCGTTTTTTATTATTTTTTCACTTTTTAAATCGTTTTATTATTACGAGGGTTGGATAACTCTACTGGTTGGTTGGATTATGACTGGATATTGGACATATTTGTCCAAAGGTTGCTGGCTTGTATATGATGTGTTTGGGTGGTCCACACACTATATCATGGTTTTGCTTGTTTGAAAAGATATAAATACTCGAGTGTATAGAGAAAGATGGGGCCTATATGTTCAATATATATTTGTACGTATGTGGCTTTCAATTGTGCTAGATATATATATATTTGGATTAGGGATGTATGTTGAATATTTACGTTTACATTTATATATATATATATATATATGTCTTCGAATGGCGCTAGTATTTATAGATATCATGGCGGTAGTAGACTGATTTATCATGGCCTGTATGTATATAATTCGTGACGATTCGAGTGTACGCTAGACCCATAGTACAGTTTTCATTCTAGAGAGGACGATTGGTTTTGTGTTTCCCCTCATAGTTGGGTAGGTGTCGGCGTACAACGAAGCTGCGCGGGTGCATTTGGCCTCGCTGGGACTGCCTGCGTCGGTGGAGGCGTTCGAAAAGGGCGCGGGGGTGCCGGCGGCGCTGTGGCGACGCATCGAGGCGTGCCAGGCGCAGGGGCTGACGGCACCGATCAGTCGCATTCTGGACGAGAACAAGCGCAGCAAGGCGCACGTGGAGGAGCGTCTGCGCAACGTGGAAAACTACCTCCGTGATGAAGCGGCCGAGGACGCCGACGCCAAACGGACGTACGGCAGCCAGTGGGCGATGCGGCCGGCGTCGAGTGCGTTGAGCGACGGGTTTGTGGCAGACGTGGATCGGTACCACAAGCTGCTGCGGGACGCCACGCAGAGCGACCTGGCGATCCAGAGCTCGCTGACGTCGCCGGCGCTGGCGGTGCTGGGGCAGACTCACGACGAGCTGCAGCGGCGCATTCCAGAACGAGACCCGGCGGCCGCCACGGTCGACACGTCGCTCCTCAACAGCCTCATGGTGGCGCTGGGCGTGCTGATTCAAAAGCGGGATGAGCTGCAGAAGGACCTGGCCGGTCGTGCGGCGGTGGCACCCCACGCGCTCGTGCTGGCGGCGACGGGGGACGATTCGGTGTTTGCAGCCAAGCAGACCGAGCTGGAGCAGCTCAAGGCGCAGATTGAAGGCACGTTTGCGGAACAAGGCGACTTGATCACGGATATTTCCGAGCGCAATGCCATGTTCAAGCAGGCGCGGCAGGCCGACCCGATCACGCGGCAGCGAGAGGACGCGCTCATGGAGTTGCAAAAGGCGGTGGATTTGTACGAGCAGTTGCTGGGCAACGCGACCGAAGGCGGCGTGTTTTACAGCGAACTGACGCAGAAAGTGGCGCAGCTGGAGCAGACTGTGATGGACCACTGCCACGCCAGACACTGCGAAAAGGTGGAGCTCGAAATGAACCTCCAGAGCGCCCAGGACAGCGAGCTGGCGCAACGCCTGCACGATACGGCGCTGCACGACCAGCTCCAAACCACCCATTCCGTCACCGACCAAGTGGCCGCCGACGCCGCGTTTGCCGCGTCGCTCGCAGGACAGAGCAGTCCCGGCAACCACCCCGCCGGGCGGGGGTTCCCACCGGCGGTGAATGCCCCGAACCCGCCGCCTGCGTACGGAGGCGCCCCCCCCGCCGCGGCCCCTGCGTACGCGCCGTCGAATCACCACCCAAGCAACCCCTACGCGACAAACTACAACCAAACCCACAACGCCCCGCCTCAGTACAACCAAGCCCCCCCCCACTACAACAACCAACCCCCTCCACAGCCATACCCCCACTACAATAACCAAGCCCCCCCCCCGCAATACGCTCAAGGGCCCCCCCCGCAGTACCCTCAAGGGGGCCCCCCGCAATACCCCCAAGGGGGCCCCCCGCAATACCCCCAAGGGGGCCACCCCCAGTACTCCCAAGGAGGCTACCATCAACAGCAAGGGTACTACAACCAACCTAGCTACGCCCAGCCAGCGTACGGCACCCATCCGTCTCCCCCGCCTCCACCTCCACACCAGCAGCACCAGTACAACTCGAGTCCGTACGGGTATCAGCCGCCCCACGTATAAGCACGCTCGTATCTGAACGAGATATTTTCATTTGAAGTGGATATCCCCTGCATTTGGTATTTCTTTCAATCGTAGTTAGTCGCCAAAACATGATTCAATCGTAGTAGCCATAACGTGATGTCAATAGACTGACCATAGATAATATATATATATATAGCCAACTAACTTGATGGGGAACAATATTAAAAATGTAAATATTTATCCACTCAGTTGCGGACCCCCTTGCCACGCCGACGCGCCATCGTCCCCCGCAAACTTGGCGCGCTTGTCCTTGACGCGACCAATGTACTTGGGGTTCTTGGCGAGGGCGAGGTCCACGTCCTGGAGGCGCGCCGTGCACTCCATCGCGACCTCGATCGTGGCTTGCAATTCCTCCAGCGACGACGACGACACGCCCAGAAGCTGCACCATGTCCTGGTGCTTATCGATCGTCGCCGCGATCTCGCGCGCTTCAATCATGTCGAGCACACACGCTTCGGCGTCGCTACATTTGTTATCACTTGACCTATAAATAAATATATATATATGATTACCAAATAGAAGAACCCGAGTCGAGAATGCCCGAGGCAACTTTGACCAACGGCACGGTCGTGTACACGTTGGTGAGTCTTTGAACGCTCTGCTTCTTGAACGCTGTCACACATTGCTTGACGAGGCCGTGGTTGTCTGGCTACAGCGACAATATGTGAACGTGGCCAATTCAAATGTAGGGGATGGCGATGCAAAGCATTACAATGGCGGCTGCGGCGGTGGCGACGGTGGCCGCTTGCGCCGACGCGAAGGCTGTGACGAACGCCAAGTACGGCCCCACATGCGACTCAATGCTGCGGGACACAACCAAGCCAGCGCTCTTGGGCAGCGGGGCGACCTGCCAGTTCGGTTAGCCATCAATTTCCTCGTGCCGAAGAAGTCGACCTTGTTAGCAGCTAGAAGCGACACGAGCATGTACTTCTTGTACGCTTCCACGGCCACGGCGCTCAGCGCATTCGCAGGTACGGTCAATGTCTGTAGACGTACATTCTCAGTAGACATTCATTCTCATATCATGTTGTTTCATGTTGAAGAGACGGGCCGTTACCATGAGGAAGAACGCGGCGGCGGAGTGGAATTGCTTGAGCCCTGTGTATACCATGCCGCCGTAGTAAAAGTACTCTAGCACGTGGATCGACTGGACGGCCGCTGGGGGATGTGCGACGTCGAAGATGGGCCTATTGATTCGTTAAGAAGAAGATGGATGGCGACGTAGAGCGCACGCACTGGTCGAGGATGGCGACGGCGATGTGGTAGCACTTGGCGTGGACGCAGGCCAAAGCGAACGAGCTGTGGAGCGGCGTGAGCGAGTTCGGATGGGCAGGGCCCGACGACTGCCAACGTAGAAGGAGCTGTCGCAAGGGATGCACGAGACGGATGGCTGCGCCGCGTGCAATGCCGACCTGCACCGCGAGGCGGACCAACTCGTCCACTACACCAAAGATGTTCGTTGGATTGTGCATGAGGAGGATACTGCGTACATGTGATCGCGTCCTTTGGTTCCACAGGGAGCGAGGAAAGCTGGCTCAAGTACGCGGCGACTTCGAGCAAAAACGACACGTGGTGATCGTCGTGGACAGAGGCTGGGGTGCCCATGTCCACGTCGTCGTCATCCTCGTCGACTTTTCCGTCACCGCCATCGCCACCGCCGTGAATATGCAGTTTTTTTCCCTTCGCAAGCCTACACAATCGTCCGTCAATCAACATCGAGCTTGCACGCGCTTCTCGATGGGACAGTACAAAAGATACGCCATCGCCGCCGCGTATTCGATTGCGTTCAAGCACTCGAGCGTGTCGTCTAGCTCCTCCACAGATGCCTGTGCGATGGCTTGGGGGAGGTCTCCATTCACCATGTTGCCGCCGCTGTGCTTGCAGTGCGTGAGAATGAACTCGGCGATCGCGGCCATGATGAAGTCGGCCTACCAAATATATTGCGGTGTTCAAAATGGGGACAACCAGAAATACACTTGGGAAATGTATTGCAGTCTTGACTCCAGTAAAGTCGTACAATCACGTACTATTGTACTTGTACATGTACATTGGACTGATATACAGTAGTCAAGATGAATAGTACAACATACAGTACAACTGTACGAGTTCCTTCGACAGCATCATTGGCAAGTAATATCGGGCAACAGAACCACCACCGACCGGCGCAACCCAACCGTCCTTGAACGGCATCGGCAGGACCACGTCATGATCAATCCGCCAATTCCGCTGAGTTCGATGGGAGACCGCCTCGCGTCCCTAAAGGTACCCGAGCTCAAAGGTCTGGCCAAGCAGATGTCGTTGAGCATCTCGGGGCGGAAGCAGGAACTCATCGACCGCATCGTCCAAAAGTGCTCGGTACGTCGTCGTCGTGCCGTCACCCGTTGATTGTTGGTCGACCTGTCTGTAGCAATTCCACACGTTACAGTCGGCGGGGTCGTTGTCCGACACGCAAAGCCACTTCTACACGCAGCACATGGTGAACGGGTACAGGGAGATGGAACAATTGCTCCTTGGAACCACCTCCATGCAGCAGCCGTCGTCGACACCTGGGAACATTCGCATGATGAAAGCTCCCGTCGCGAACGCACACCCGTCGAGTGTGTCAGCACCTGGAGGGTCCTGGGGGCCCTTGCACGCCACCAACGGCGGCGGCATGGCGGTCAACGGAGCGGCCATCCTGCATCACGCGAACGCGTTCGCCATGCGCGGCGGTCCTCCACCAGCGATCGAAATCACCGTCGGGTACGCGCCAGAGTTGAACAACGCGCGGTGTTTGTGTCCTGTCAAGGCGTCCCGCGGGTCAGGCGTGAGCACATGCGCCAAGTGCGCCACCGCCGTGCACTCAAAGTGCCACCAGACCACCCAGATGGTACAGTCCCCCTCCTCCTCCTTCCTTCTCGCCATGATCATCATCCAACTTGAGGTTGCATGTAGACAGACTCGTGGCACTGCGAAGCATGTCGAGCCGTCGTGTTCGAGCCGTTTTTCCGCGTGCAGACGACGTTTGGGTTTCCCACGTTTCTCCGATTCACAGCTAGCAACCGGCAGCAGATTCAGTACGACATTCCCCCCGACGACCTCGTCGCGATGAAGCAGCGAAAGGGCACGCAACCTGGTACACACAATCTATATATATATATATATATATATATATAGGGAATAATAATCCCGTGGTCGATCGATCCTTATATATTGGACGTCGTAGGCTGCTTGGAACTGCAACTTCGGTGCTTTGCGATGAAGGATCCGCTGTCGGAAGGCCACTGCTGGCCCACTTGCTGTACGATCCTGGTCAACGGCTACGCATGTGCCCTCGTCCAGGTCTGTGAGCGTTCCACGTCATCATCTCATCTCGACCATCCAACTCTAGCGAGCTGTGCCAGGCCAAACCAACACATCCAAAGTGCTGCGGGAACAGCCCTTGAACCTCCTTCCCATGTCTCGGCACGGGACCAACACGATCGACATTCGGACTGCCGATTCATTACCGGTACATGTCGACATATCTCGTGAAACGGTGTCCCATGGTGACATAAACACGCGCGCGCGTAGAACTTGTATGTGTTTGTGATCCAGCGCGTGGAAAAGCAAGATTTGGACCACTTGCTCCAGCACGTTGTCGCACAGTCCGAGCTCATCACGTACGCCCAAGCCAAAGCCGACGTGATCAAGTCGTTTGGCGGCGACGACGACGACGATATTGTGGCCACATGCACGATGCTGTCGGTGCGGTGTCCGCTGGGGCTGTGCGTGATCGACCTCCCGGCGCGGGGCATCCACTGCCAGCACTTGCAGTGCTTTGACCTCAAGACGTTCCTCCTATTCAACCGCACGGCGCGGTCCCGCGCATGGAAGTGCATCGTGTGCCACAAGGTCCATAGGCTTTATATATGTGTGCGGTCGATTGGATTGTGTATATGTATGTACCTAGCTGTGCTAGCATTAGCTGCTCCAGAGAGAGATATTTTTGGAGGTTTGGGGGGCTGATTTATATAAATAAAGCCGAAAAACCACCAAAAATATAGGAAAAACGAAGTCACTTTGCCAAATCGATTGTTTGAAACATGGAACATGATGAATGATATGGACTTTCTTTCAACCAAAATGTGGACTTTTGTAATGCTGATTATTTGCCAAAAATCCATATCGATCGATTGTTTGTAATTTTGTATGTAAAGATGGTAATTTTAGTCACTAATTCGATGTTGAATTGGTCCAAGAGTGGATTTGATTGGCTACTTGATTCTTGATCTCGGTTTTGATTGGTCGACTATTTGGTGATTCTGCTCGTCAACCCACTCCAACAATTTCGAATCGACGTGACCATGGTCGAATGTGAGTGACTACTGGATTCGTGATCTCGGTTTTGATTGGTCGATATAGATAGTTGTCTGCCGATATATATGGTGGTCTTCCAATGTGATGAGCATTGTTGTCCATTGACGACCGAATGACCATATTATTGACATTTGTACGATCTAGTTCATCGCGTTGGACGACCTCCGCATCGATCCGTACTTGAAGCAGCTGCTCGCGGACGTCCGGGACGACGAAGAGCTGGAAGAAGTCGAAATCTTTCCGGATGCGACGTGGCGAAAGCGGGTGACTGAGGACGACCCCAGTGACAAGAAGCCCAAGCCAGCGACCGACGACAAGCTCCTGCTGGACATCATCCCCATCGACGTGTTGGGCTCCCCCAGGCCCGCCGCCGCCGCCTCCGTGCCGCTCGACTCGATCGACTTGACGCTGTCGTCGGACGACGAGGACGAAGTCCGCCCCCTCGCGGACCTCCTCCACCCTGCCCCCCCTTCCTCTTCTTCTTCGATGCCCCATGTGCTGTGGAATGCCGCGTCCACGTGGACGACGACGCCCGCGCAACCGCAGTGGTCGAACGCGTCGGCGTTTGGCGGGATGCTCGACGTCACGTACGACGACCCGTGGGCATCCCCCCCTCCTCCTGCTCTGGCCGCCGCCGCCGCCCCTGGGGGCTTTGCAGGGTTTTCTGCCCCCACGACCTCGTCCGCCCCCCGCCTCCCATCCCTGGCAGCCCAAGCCCCCACCAACCCTTCGTCCTCCCTCCACCCATCGTCGTCGTTTTCATCAACCCCCGGCTTTGCGCAGTATTATACGAATGGCGGCGGCGGGTTTGACAAGGACTCGACGCCTCCGCCCCTAGGCGACGCATGGCACCAGGGGGCGGCAAAGGCACGGAAACGGCTGCATCGGGGCGACCAAGTGCTTCCACCTGCGTCGTTCCCCCAACCCCCCAACCCCCAGACACACACGGCCCGCAGTCACGGGTTTACGAGTAGTTCGAGTAGTTCTAGTAACGGCGGCGGTCCCCCCAAGTCGGCCATGTCGATGGCCAACGTCATCTACCTTGACGACGACAGCGAATAGTATGATATATATATATCTCCCCCAACACTCCTCTGTGTGACGTGCGTGGTGGTCGAATGGTATATATATATATATATAATATATATATAGATGCCATGTGGTGTTATCCAACGATAGATGCGATACCGAAATGACGGTATCGCAGCTTTACAACAACCCTTGCCGCGCCAAATCTTCGTACGTTTTGCGGTTAAACACGTTGCCTTCCGAGTCTTCAAACTCTTCTTCGTTGGCTTTGTTGAGCGTTTCAATCTCGAGCTGCCCCTTGAGTTTCTCGTACACTGTATACATACACAGGTATCCCGTCAAGCTCTCCCATAGCCAGAATCAGACATCGAATCAGAATCATAGGTTCGTACAGGTATCCAGCCAAACTCTCCATATACCAGAATCAGACATGGAATCAGACATGGAATCAGACTCAGAGGTTCGTACACGCGATCGCGTCGGCCATGTGCGTAATGTCGTGAAAGTGTTTGGTGTTGGGAATGCCGAGGCACCGCATGCCAAACGCGTGGCGCCACTGCTGAAAGTGCCTATCAAAATCTCGGCGGCCCCAGTAGCTGTGGTTGCCGCAGATTTCGCACTTGAACTCGATGCCAAGGCCGTGCAGTTTGTACAGCCAGTACGGAATCGGCTTGCCATCCCACCCGAGGGGGAGGTTGAGGGGATTGTAAAACGGCTGCTCGTCGTCGTCGCCCCCGGTCGGGTGGTCGTTGTCCACGTCCACATCGGACAAGCCGCCTTCCTCTTCCTCGTATATCTCGGCCTGGAGTTCCTCTGGCGTTCGCGTCTGCTTGAGCTCGAGGAACGAAATCGTCGCGTGTACGACTTCGGTGAGGAGCGACACTAGGGTCTTGGCTTGGGCTTCGAGGCGGGCCAGCTGCTCCCGCCGCGTGTCGTCGCCGCCATTATTGGTGCCGCTGTCGACTGCCTTGAGGTGCTTTTTCCCCTTGAGGTGCCCTTGGAATACTGCCGGCGATGCAAATTGCTTGTGGCAAGGGCGGCAGAACGTCTCGTTGGACTCGTGCTCGTCGACTTGCCAGCCCCGCACCCGCCGCAGACTCCAGTCCTTGGCGAACGCGGCGTTGGTTTCCCGAATCACGTCGTCCACGTCCACGAGCGGCTGCGTCCGGCGGTAAAACGACAGCAAGTACTCGACCAACGAACTCAAGTACGCGTCGTAGCGCGCGTCCGCGAGCTTGGCGCGCGGCGGGATCTTGCTCAAGTCCCCCACGCGACCGAGATACGTGATGTAGTCGGCGTGCACTTGCTTGTACTCGGGGGTGCGCCCTCGCACGACGTTGGTCGTGTCGGCCGCGGCCTTCTTGTTGACCCTACGCGCGCCGCGCTCGGGTGATTTATATACATGGAGGAAGGTTGAACGGGAATAGGAGACACGTACGATTGAAAGACGGGCAGGTTGAGGTACTGCGTGTAGAACGCATGCAGATCCAAGTACTTGCCAAAGCGCTCTTCCCCGGAAAACTAGAGTCCCGTCATAATCATGAGTCGAAGGATCAGGATATACGAACGAGATGGACATGACGTCCAGGTGGATATACGAGGAAGATACGTACGGGGATCTCTGGGTTCATGATGTGGTCCAGCACGGGCTCGTGGGAGACTTGGATGTTTGTGTATTTTCGGTGAAAGTCGCGCATGGCTTTGAGCTGGTCGTAGAACGACGTGAAGATGGTACGACCATGCATCGTGTCGATCTCTTCCTTGAAAGTTCCTTCCTCGTCTTTGTACAACTTGAGCGCGTCCGCGCTGCGCACCGTCACGCTGTCCAAGAGCCCGCTCACCTTGTGGCCGTGCAACACCCGTGCGCGGTGCTAGTTTATGGATGGCCATGAGGTACATCGAATCAATGGAAGGAAGAAAGGGTGGTCATACATTGCGAGGTTTCTCACTCAAGATGCTGACAATCGCGCGCTCGTAGCTCTCGATGTCTTCATGCGCGGATCGGATCTGCTCCAACGTGTGCGACGACATCGATGGCCGCGGAGGTCCTTTCGAAAATGATGAAAACCCCACATCCAAATGGACCAATCACAGGGCGTGCTATCAAAACGTGAGGCACAATTCAACACGTTTTGTTATTAATCAAACAGTTTCTTGGACATAATCATGAATTAATTTTCTACCGATTTTATTCGTTAACAGTTACTCGAACAATTTCTTGGACAATATTATTGAATAAATTTTCGGCCATAAGTACACTATTAATAGTTGTACTCCAGTAAGGCTGGTCGCGGAATATTACTGTAACTCTTCAGTTATTATTACCTACTAGCATAGTACTAATACTAGTACTTAGTACAACAGACAGTACAACACCGGTATTGCTTTTCCATCGACAAAAAACTCGTTGAAAAAAACTCACAGTCAAATAACGTAACTGCTCAAATTAGCCTTTCCCACTACAGTATTTAACAGTAAAGTACAAATAAATAAATAGTAATATAGTGTGAGGTGGGTCAAATAGCAACAGTGTCGAGCAAATAAATGCAAGGTCGGTCCACCGCGCTTGGCATTGCGCAAGCGGCGATTGCGCTTGGAACTGCCGTTTACTTCCCCAGATGGTATGGCTCCTTTGAGACCTCCCATCCAGAAGCCTTGGAGGTCGCCGTGGTTATGCTTGGGGTCCTGACCTTCGCGGTGTTGGCAATCACCACACCACCCAACGTACTGATCCACCACACAAGCCTCGCGACCATGCTGACGTTGTGTGCATGCCTATGTCCATGTAGATTCATGGCAACAAGCTGCTTGGCCTTGCTTTCGGCGTCGGCGCAACTGCGATGGGGGCGGTTTGCAGTCACGTGATCATTGTGTTCTTTGGCGCGCCAGTGTTTCAGTAAGTTGATCGTCGTGTCGGTGGGAATCACGTGTTGGATCGTAGGTTGTCCTGGAAAACCTTCTTACTCGCCCTGGTGGTGTCCATCCTCACCGTGCCCCATGTGGCCCTGCACTTCCGTCCGTCCTCGACCGGCGCGTCTCCATACATCGACCTGCTCTTGCATGCCAAGTACGTCTATAATCCATCTCCAGTCACACACGAAGATGTACATGTATGTAGGTATCGCAACGCCAGTGAACTTCAACTGGCGTGGACGTCCATTGGCACGGTGCTTGGCGCGTACATCGGCACGGTATTCATTCCCCTCGATTGGGATCGACCGTGGCAGGTTCGTAACTGGTCGAGATGGATTTGCGACCTACCTCGTTCTGCTTGATGTAGCAATGGCCACTGTCTTGTGTGTACGGGGCCTTGTATGGCCACGTGGTCGGCATTGCGCTGTCGGTGGTCGTCGCCTTCACCGGCGCATCGGCGTCCGTCGGGTTGGTTCAAAGCAAACGCGAGTAGTAGAAGCACGTCCCCCCCTCAATCCTTTGCACGTACAATTGAGTGTGGAACAAGCATCGCCTTAAGCGTTCCCATGTGATGATATATCTGCGATGATGTTTCTAAACGACGCGAGATATCATACATATATGATGTGTTCACATCTGGGTTCGCCTCCAATAATGTACTAGTAACGTTCTGGGTGTCCAATATATAAAGCATACTGTATAATGTAGTACTACATTATATGCTTTATATAGCAAGGTGCTGGGAACACATAGTAACCAACTGGTACTATATGATAGATCTTGTGTCAACCAATCATTCGCATACGAACAACTACTACGTAGTATTAGTATACATTGCTAGATACTAATACACTAGTATGCAATGATTAACTAAAAGTCGAAATTCAGTGGGGCCAGACCAGCTAGAGGCTCTGGTAGAGCAACCCGTCGGCCACCGCCGCTGCCTTCTTGGACCCGCACAGCACTTCCACCAACTTGAGCCCCATCTCCATGGCCGTTCCTGGCCCTACATACTCAAAGCCCCTTGACGAGTCCACTTCAGCATAGCACGTCTTTATACCTCGACTGGTCAAACAGTTGGCGGTCACCACCACCCGATCCGAGCTGTACACCACGCCCGGCATCTTGTCTTGAAAAGACGGATACGACGTCACAGGTCCCGGAGGCAGCAGCTAGAAACACCATTGGGGGATGCTGCCCGAGTACGGCATGCTCGTGTACCTCGTGGTGGTGGAGGACGACCGCGGGAGCGGCACAAATGGCGCCGTACCATTTCCCGCCCGCTTTTTGGCGTCGGAGCATGTTGATCAAATCAGGACAGTCGCGCAAGTGGGAAGCTCCGGGCATGCCCTTTTGTACGTGTTGTTGTCAGTGTCACCATGGAACGGTGTATGGAGAGGGTACCCCTGGAAGGACAATCACGTCGTACGAGTTGTGGACGCACTCGGCAATCGCCACGTCCGCTTGGATGTGTAGCCCTCGCGACATCTTGACAACATTCTGCGCATTGCCGCCCACCGACGCCAGAGTAACCTGCGGTTTATACGAGATCTCGTTAAACTATAGCACGCACACATGCACCGATAGTCTCTACTACCTGGATACCACCGCGAACCAAGACATCTTGCAAGCACACTGTTTCAATCTCTTCGCTACCATTCGCCTACATCAACAAGAACATATCATCTCTCCATTACAATCTATTTATGTCCGTGCATGCATTACCACAGGAATGAGCGCCGTCGGAGCCGTCATGGTGATGCTGCTACTGATCTTAGGAGTCAAGCAGAATGTCATGTTGCGACCGAGCATCCTGTAGAAATAGATATTATACACAACGGTTTCACGAATCACCTCTTCAATCTTATAGTATCACTCAACGAATGAATTTATATATGTTAGCAAGCCATAGATTTCGAAAACCATTTCTTATTTTTGATATAGGAAATAACAACACCTACCTGACCCACACAGCAGTGGTGAGTCAACTCACAACCACAAGCAGGCAAGACTTCGCTCTGGGCGCCTTGGTCGTTTTGCCGGTGGAGGACTTCATGCACACACTGTGACTGCGCTTCATCACATGAAATAGACATGCATTCCTACTTGGAGTGTAGGTACGAATTAGCAAGCCGAGTGCACAACACAGATGCAATTTTGGAATATCGATCTTGAAAGGTCACGGGGATAATGTGCGTCGCGGGCAGCACATCTGTGTAGGTATTCATCGGAAGCGTTTGACCTTGTGACGGAACATTTTACGATATTCCAGCACGCCGTTATGCACCGCCACATCTTCGCCGTCGACGCCGTGTGCCTGAAGAAGCACGAATGTCCAGTTGCGGCCTGGCGTTGAAGCTCTCTGATCTACGGTCGCGTCGGAGCTATGCTGTGGATGTTCTTGTACTGTACCTTTTGGCTTTGTGTTAACTCCCTGATGAGGTAGGTCGTTGCAGCCATCATCAACTGGTGGGTGTCCTACGTACTATTAAGGGAAAATCACTCAGGAAAACCTACCAGTACAAGCCAGGACACACGTGTGCTGCGCGTGCGAGACGACAACGTAGTAGTTTTGGCGTAGCACTTCTAGCGAGGGAGCTAGCGCGAGTTCGAATGTCCCGTTATCCTCGTTTCGTGTCACCACCTGAAATCGGGTGATGAATGAGAGGTCCCGTTACAGTACATACTACGCATATACTACTGTTTATGTCTGTCCAGCAACACTGGTACATTAAGGTTAAATTACGTTCAAAGAGGAGTTCGTTTTACTTGCTCACTTGCATTGGTTCTCGTGACACTCATAACGTTTCTACAAGTGCATTAAGTACATGTACTTCACGATCGAGGTCATCCGTACACATTCGCCACACTTTCGAGTGCAAAACACCGCTGCGATTATCGATAACGTGACGCTGTGTATGACATAGTTAACCCGAATAACATTATGGCAACACGAGAAGTTTATGTGTACGTTAACGGTGCCAGTAACGCTGGGCTTCGCCTTAGGGATCAATTCCTATAGCATTATACTGGCTAGGCTTGGGAACAACATTCGTTTGTGGGAACGTGAGCTGGGACGACGGGGTTGGTGAGCTGGACTTTGCGACTGGTTTCTTGCATGCGAGCTTGATTGGACTCGTCAAAGTGGTGCAGGATCGTGGTGGCGCTCTCGACAAACACTGTTTCGACGTTCAATGCGGTCTTCGCCGACGCTTCGATGAAGTGAAGGCCGTGACGGGCGGACCACGATGCTGCTTCGTCGTAGCTCACCTGCCGCAGGTCCTCTGTGATGTCTGCCTTCATGCCCACGACCATGATCTCCAAGCTTGGGTTCATACAGTTCTGCTGGCATTCTTGCAACCACCGACACAGATGCTCGAAGCTAGATCGTTTGCCAATGTCGTACACCAGCAGCACGCCATCCGCGCCGCGGTAGTACGATCGGGTGATGGACAAGAACGTTTCTTGGCCGGCGGTGTCCCAAATTTCGAGCTTCACCTTGCGGTTGTTCAAGTCGAGGAGCTTGGCTCCAAACTCAACACCGATCGTGAGGTCATGGATGCCTGCAAACGTCTGTTCCGTGAACTGCAGGAGGAGCGAGCTCTTGCCCACTTCCGAGTCGCCGATGATGATGTACTTGAGGGTCACAAATACCATGATGGCGAGAACGGGGACGTGGTGCAACTCAAAAAAAGTCAAGATCGGCGGTTCGATATCCGGATAAATACGATATCTTATCCGCCAGACAGTGTACGGTACACAATTTAGAACAAACTATCATAGTACCGGTACAGTAATCCAGCATGCTTACAGTACTGTACGGTTAACTACCAGGTAGCCAACTCCCGACATCCTGCAAGTCGGTTGTTGGCTTTAGCTGCGACATCATGGGGAATGGCGAAGTATATTGTCGGGGGAGCTGCAGGCAGTGGTCTATATCGAGCGAAAGCCTGCGTCATATTAATAGATCTTGATAAGGTGAATGGAAATTCAGCCAATCGAGTAGCCGTATCACGAAGATAGCCAACGTTGATTGGCCAAGATTCCAAGATTAAAACGGCACCGTTTGAGCATTTGGCGACAATGACGGCCGACGATGGACTTCGCCTCCTGGGTGGAAGCAGCGGGTTCAAGGAAGAAGACCTGGAGTCAAATCGAGTGATCTTGTTCATCTTCCTCGTAGTGCTCTTCGTGGCGACGCTCGAACTCGCACTCCATCACATTCACCGAGTGTGTCGACAACACCCCAAATACGCCAAGATGCTGCACAAAACGACACAGGAACTCATGATCGTGGGGCTCATCTACATGCTGGTCAAGTTCTGCGTGTACTCGAAGCTGGCGGAGAAGGGTGGACCGGTGTACTACGCGTTGGATGCGGCGGATGTGTTTGTGTTCTTCGTCACGATGGCGCTGGTGTTCCAAGCGATTGTCGTGTTCATTCGGCTGCGCAAGTCCAACATTGAAATGGATAAGCTATCCGTCATGAGCGCGGTGGATCTGGTGGCGATTGCACGACAACGTCTGGACGAGGCCGCCGCGTCCAAGTCGTGGTGGCGCCAGTTTCGCGCGTGGCGAAAGTACGAAGATCGCATGGAGATGAAGTTGCTCGGGCAGTTCTTCCTCAACGTGTACGAACTGCCGCAACTGTTCTCGTTCGCCAAGTATATTCGAGAGGTCCAAGACAGCCAGATTGCCAAGTTCATCGAAGTGGACCTGAGCACGTGGGTGCTGCTGCTCGGGGTGTTTGCGCTCTACTTTGCGTCCACGGGACAACTCAACTCGCCGTACCGCGTCTCCGAAAGCTCCATTCGACTTGTGGCGTTCGCCACCTTTGTGTGCTGCCTCACTGTCGCGATGCTCGGGTTCTTCTTCTACCTCAAGCACTTGGTGACGGTGTTGCTTCAACATGCCACCGACCGGGCACTGGAAGGGTCGGCGATGACGCTGATCGTGCCTCTCGATGGAAATGCCAAAAAGCGCAAAATGGAGTTTCTCTTTGAAGCCATGAACGACGTGATTGAGAAGGTATCAAGTTTGACAGGTTTTGTTGACGGTTTCAATTTGCTCAGTATTGATTACTGCAGGAATCGCATGAGGACGCCGACCTTCCCGCGGATGAAGCCATCGCACGCATGCGGTACGTCGCGGACAAGCTGTACCATGGCAAGGTCCGCGATCACAGCTGGGTAAAAGCGGACTTGTTCTGCCAACTTATCATGTCCGGGTACCGCAAGTGTCGAGGGAAGTCGAGTGTGCACCAGAATTCGCTTCGGTGCAAACTTATGCACGATGACAAGCCGATTCGCCTGCCGTTTTTCTCGCGGAAGGCGTGTCATGTGGTCCTGCAGAGCATACTCATCGCGAACGGCTTCTTCTACGCGCTTCTGATCAACTGTGTGTTGGTTGTCACGGAATGGAACCAAGTGGTGGCGATCCTGTTGCTGCTCGTGCCATTGTTCTTCAACACGTTGGTGTTAGCGCCCGACGTCGTGCGGCAGTTCTCCATTTTGAACGGGACGTGGCGCGTGGGCCGCAAGAAGCTTAGTTCCGTCATCGAGCACTTTGCCCAGGTTGAAAAGATGAAGCAGCGCATGTGCGTGCAGATCCACACGTTCTTCCTGGAGCATCAAAAGACGCTGGCCGACCTCCAAGCCGCGCTGGAGGAGGCGGACGCGGCTGACGCAGACGCAAACGACGGGTTCATCGACTTGGACGTATGCCGGGAGACCCTCAAGGACTTTGGGTTCCTCTTCGCCAGGCACAAGTTCAACACGTTCGTGCGCCTCGAGTTTGACACAAAGGGCGAGACCATTCGGTACTCGGACCTGCTCGAGATCTTGAAGCATGTTCCGACAAGCGAAGCCATGCTCAAGCACATGCATAGTATGGCGGTGTAGTAGTGGGGCGTAGGTACAAATGTACCCTGGCAAGAACCGAAGTGGAGTGACGTTCTTTCTGCGGTACAGTACATTCACATGATATAACAATGGTCCAGTTATAACAGTTATAACCAAGATATCACGGAATACGTAAACTCGCACGTCAGTTCACATCGTCGACATACAGTAATCTACTTCACATGTCAATTGACGAAACAAGCTTGACCGATTCTCCTGAATACTATTAATAGTATTAACTTAAGAAGCCTCCGTATTGGGCAAAACATATATATACTAACTAATCGTTGTAAAGCATAGTTTGTGCAAGCTTAAAGTTAAATTGGATACTATATAATATTATAGTACGGAAATGACTCACAAGTCCAAATTGGGTAAAGTGTACAATAACATGTTATAACACTATCCAGTGTAGATTATAACAGAATGCATCCATGCCCGTTGTTAGGTACAGGTGTACTTTAAATACTGATTCTCGAAGGTTGCGCGAACAAGAAAATTCTCTTGACGGTTTTATGCTGCGATTTCGAAGTTTCGAGTACTTCGAGCTTCCTTCGACAGATCAACGTTTTGGCATTTTCACTTTTTACGCGAAGCACCATGGCGATCCGTACGAAGCCGTCGACATCGTCCTTGTCCGCGGCAATGCTGCCGCGCATCATGGAGTACGCTGGGAAATCGCAGACGGGTGTGACGCTGCAGGAATTTCTCAAGTTCGGTAGCCACATCTCGCCCTCTAAGTTGATCCACAGCGCCAAGTTCCTCCATGCCGAACTGCCCATTCGACTCTCACATCGCGTGAAGGATCTCGACACGTTGCCATACGGCCTCTGCCAAATGCCGTCCGTGCAATTGGTGAAAAAGTGGTACGTGAAGTCGTTCGAGGAGCTCGTGGCGTTCCCTCGTGTGCGAACAAGCGAAGACGAGCGCGCGTTTGCCGCCCTCGTCGAGTCCATCTGGGAACGGCACAATGGCACATTGTATACCATGGCGCGCGGCGTGTACGAACTCAAGAAGAGCATGCTAGCATCTCGATCGGCGGGGAAGCCAACGCTTTCCCTCTCGGACATGCACGATCTGCATACGTTCCTCGACAAGTTCTACCTAAGTCGCATCGGAATTCGCATGCTCATGAGTCAACACATTGCGCTCCACGAGCGAGAAAATGGGTGGGTCGGGTGCATCTGCGAGTCCACGTCTCCTGCTGAAGTCGCGCTTGCCGCCGTCCACACCGCGCGGCATATGTGCATCCGCCAATACGGCGACGCGCCCGAAGTTGAGCTCCACGGCCACACAGACTTTGTCATGCCGTTCGTCCCGAGCCATCTGCATCACATGCTCTTTGAAGTGCTCAAGAACTCGATGCGGGCCGTGGTCGAGTTCCATGGTGTGGACAACCCGCTGCCGCCCATCAAGCTCGTCGTGGCGGACGGCGACGACAACGAAGACGTCAGCATCAAGATCTCGGACGAGGGCGGCGGCATTCCGCGGAGCGCCCTCCCGCGCATCTGGAGCTACATGTACACCACCGCCAACGAGCAGGCGTTCGCGAGCCTTGAAGGCGACACCCCTATGGACTTTGGCGGCGAGTCGCCGCTGGCGGGTCTGGGCTACGGCTTGCCCATCTCGAGGCTGTTTGCGCGGTACTTTGGCGGCGATTTGCAGATCATTTCCATGGAAGGGTACGGCACCGATGCATATCTCCACCTGAAGCGGGTCGGTGATGCGTCCGAGCCGTTGCCGTGAGATACAGTCTGGACAAACAAGTTGTAGTGTACATATGGTGGTGGTTGCGTTAATATTAATAATAATACTCGAGATGATTTATTTCCACGGAATCAAACGACGTGTAACATATTATTATTCGCTTGAATATCTTTATGTTGATATATGTATTATTAATAAGTTGGCGTATTTTTATTCATCTCCATAATTATTTACGTTTTGCCCAAACGATTTATACATCCTGCAGATTGTGCATGGGTACGGCGCGATGCAGGTCAGCGATTTCTCAATGCATACTGCACAAGAGGTCAAGAAACTCTCCATTCCTCATAACAACAACCAGTACTATCAACAGCACCTTATTGCATGTCGCCTGAATCAACAGCTGTAGAGAAAGACAACTTCGAACTTGGCAAATTCGTCGTATTTCAAGAACAAGCGTGTACATGCGGGTAAGATGCGTCATGCCAGAGAGAGCTGTGTATGCGTAGGCCATGCTGTATAGGCTGAGCTAGTAATGGACTATATTGTAGTACAAGTAGTGTTGCTCTAAGTATTACACAGCTCGAGAAAAGCGTCATCTAAGTTCGTCCATTTTCGATATATGCGCATGTCGACATGTCGTCCTCTAAAAACTTCCAACTGGCCAAATTGAAGAGTGGAGGTTTTATTATTTAACGTACAATTAATGTATTTAAACCCAAAAACCAAATACGTTAAATACCGATTTCATGCGTTTTATCACTGCAGTGGGAGGTTAAAGGTCCCAACTGCTTCCGGATATTGATTACGGATAATAGCCACTTACAAAAAGCAAGATACTACGTAGTACATCCCAACGGCCACCCTTATTGCCAAATATCCACGCGCCCATGTAAAATACCGCTAGGTTAAATATCTATTTCTGGACCAATTCATCACCAAATTTGAATCTGAGAGGTAGTATTTCTTCACCACATTGAGATCTGTCGATTCTACGTCTCAATTTGCTGATATTTTGAGTCATGAATATGAAATAGAAGTCAGAAATTTTGTGAAAAGTTGGTAGTTTATATATAGTTGACGAGCATCATACCACAAAAACATGCATATGCGCAATAAAAATATTTCATCCGCAAAAGTAACGAAATATCCGGAACGGCTGAGTTTTCAATGTAAAACGGCGCGAAGTTTCTGAAAGGCATCGCACATGCAGTGAGCGATAGAACACGTGTCAGTACAGCAGCCAAAGTCCCTTTCCAACAAGTTGGATGACTGCGAAGAAAGTCCAGATGTTGCTTCGCCAACCACGAATGCCTCGATTTTGGCCTTCCATAACTTCGTGTTATGATGAGTTTTCGCCAGGTCCCGCATCACCCAGTAAACATGGATGCTTGACGATTCGATTTCGAGCGGCTGGTAGCAATTTCTTCTATTTCATAGAATACTCCAAGTACTTATTCTTAATGATTCTGGGAGGGTTTCGAAAGAGTTTTCGTAACTACCCAATAATCAGATCGTATCCGATCTCAACTAAGCTCGAAGCCATCGGCCTACTTGAGACCTTATCTGGTCGAGATGGCGAAGCTAATGGGCGTCCCACGACGAACTGTGTGATCGTGGTACGCTCAGCGCTTTGAGCTCTTTTCTTTCGAATGCAACAAGAAGAACAAGAAGATCGAACCAGGTAGACGATACGAAGAGTTCCCCCCCAGACCCACCAGGTTTAGTAGGATTTATACACAAAATGAGAGATGACGAACGTGCTCTAACGAACGACTCACATGATCAAGATCAACCAAAGGGCGTGGTGATGTCGTACCTTGCAACGAAGAAGTCTGACGCCACATACGCCTCCCTCCTCCGACTGCTGCGTCGCATCTGCCAGCGCTATGGATTCTCTCGGCAGCGGCAGACAAAGAACAAGCTCAAGCAGGCGGTCTTGACTGAAGTCCACGACCAGTTCGCCCGTGACTTCCATCGGGAATACCAATCCTACGAGAACGACTGCGTATTCAACGTCGACGAGACAGGTATGCACTACAGCCTCCCTCCAACGTACATATGGGCTGTTCGTGGCGGCAGCGCCAAGATCTCAACGGGGGAGGGGAAGATTCGATGCGCATAACAGCGGTACTAACGGCGCGAGCGGACGGTCAAAAGCTGCCCTGCTATTGATCATGAAGGAAGTACCCGGGGGGCTCATCGAATCCAAAGAGTTCCCTACGTTTCCTCGTGGCCATCACTACGCGATGCAGGAGAATGCGTGGATGGATGCGGTGGTGTGGAGACAGTACCTGCGCAATGTCCTTGGCGAGTCCATCGAAGAGCCGTCGGTGGTTCTAATGGACAACTTTTAGTGCCACGTTTCGGATGAGTCATTCAAGATCATGCATGAAGAACTTGGCTCCCACTTTTGTGCGCTGCCGCCGAACGCAACCTCGGTATGCCAACCATTTGACGTCGGGGTGATGGCGCCGTTCAAGCGCAACCTACGTAACTTGTGGTTGTACGACGAGCAGCTTGAAGGGGACGACGATGATCCGTACTCACCAACTGCTCGTCAAAGGCGAATGGCCATGGTGTTGCGTGCCATTGCTGCATGGGATGTGGTCACTGCTGACATCATTCGACAGGCATTTGCCAAGGCACTTCGTGTAAATTGAATACAAATATTTTTTTGCAATTTAAATACATTTTATTTCATACAAAATTCTTGATATTGAGTGAAGTTAATTTTTATAGAAATGTAAATACATTTTATTTTATACAAACTTCTTGATATCGAGTGAAGTTAATTCTTATAGAAAAAAGTTCGGCGCGCCCGGGGCTCACTCAAGACACACAACGTGTTTAACCACTGCGCTATCGCGTCGAACGCTTACGCTTGTACGTCATCCATTAGTGGGAGTAGTAACTGGCGGTAGACCTTTTCCGTGGCACCCATTCCCCATTCAGCCGCCTGTCGCACTTATGTAAGGGCGGCGCTCATACGAGATAATCCAGCACGGCACTCTGGCGACGCACGGTCCAGGTCACCGTCCTTGAGGGGGGTTCGGATCTTCCCGAGCATTGACCCAGACACAGGAAACGCCGAGTCCGACACGACTCCATGACCGCGCAACGTAAACTTTTCGTCCAATAGTTTCGCCCGCAACGGTGAGCTCGTGTCCGCATCGTTCCAACTCCCAACAAAGCTGTGTCTGCCCCACACAATGGTGCCATCTACACCGAAGAGTGACGTCCCCGTCACAAATGTACAATGTAGCCACCCATTGTAGTACGCGTTTTGCAAATCGGGGGCTGTCGGTGCCTTGACGTGGTAGTTCTTGCCGTCTAAAAAACTCCACACCCCGCGTACCAACGGCTCAACACGGTTCACCATGACTGCCCATCGGCGCTGTTGTTGTTTGGAAGGATACCAGATGAAGGAGTCGGGAACGGACTTCAACGCAACTGCAAGCGCGCGCTCGGCTTTGGTCAAGGTTCTTGCTAGGGTCGCTGGGGCCATGCGAAACAACTCGCACAAGGTCTTGCCCTCGCACGGTGCGCAATAGAAGTGCAGCAGCAAGGAAGGTGCCTCGTGCTTTTGGATGCACTTGGGCGGTCGTCCGCCTCGTCCATTGGCATGGCCAAACTCATAATGCATAAAGAACGCCACAAGCAGTTCGTCGAACGCGTCGGGGTCCAAAGACACTGCAGCAATGAAGGTGCTGCGATCACGTGTTGCATACATAGCTGTCCATGAGCTCGGTATGGTGTCAGGTAGTGACAGAGAGGTTAAGTAATGCCTCTCTTTCAGTGCAGCACGAGCTCTGTACAGCATGAGTATGTCATGTGCGTCGCAATCGGAGTCGTCATCGTGGTGAGCAAGCAGCATGAGAGCCCGCCATTTTATCGTGGAAATAGAACAATATGAATTAAATTATACTAGTCTGAAATCAACACAATTGGGAGATTTGAGACCCCAGGCGTACTTCTTTGCTGAGACGATATTTGAGTTTCCGCAAAGAAAGTCGATCGAATTGAATATTAATTCCGGATGACTCAAAATTATTTGAGTCGGTTTTGGAAGCCACCCATTGCATCAATCGAAGTATTGCTTTTCTTCACATCTGAATACTTATGACCTCTTTACAGTTAATCGAAGTTCGAAGTCCGTCTTGCACCTTCTTTTGATGTAGAATATTATTACCTCTTTAAATGATTAAATCTTCAAAAGCGGTCTGTGATAGGCTGCATTAATTTCCACACACAAAAGTACCTTCACCAATCAGATTGTAGAATTCACCGTCTAACTCGAAGACAAGATGGGCGTTACATTCCGTCCGTCCCAGTAGCTGGTACCGGTAGTAAAATACTCAAGGTTTTGGAGGTTTTGCCCTCGGAATATTACGGTGCCCAGATTGTGCTGGAAGCATCTACATTCCGATTGGCTGAAGTTGAGGCCGAATTGACTACGATCTTCGGATCGAAGAAATAAATTTTGGGTATCGGCCAATCAAATGGCACGAAGAAGTTCGAAGTGAACCAAGTGTCGGAAAAGAAGCGAAAATCCGGAAATTGCGCAAGATGTGGCGCGTAGCGGAAGGAGACTTTTCGTCAGTCGAGTCACTCTTTAGTGAGCTCGATTAAGAACGCTGTAAATTTCCACACACAAAAGTACCTTCACCGTGATGTTGTTAACGAGGAATTAGTAATACTCATGGTTTTGGGGGTTTTGCCCTCGGAATATTACGGTGCCCAGATTGTGCTGGAAGCATCTACATTCCGATTGGCTGAAGTTGAGGCCGAATTGACTACGATCTTCGGATCGAAGAAATAAATTTTGGGTATCGGCCAATCAAATGGCACGAAGAAGTTCGAAGTGAACCAAGTGTCCGAAAAGAAGCGAAAATCCGGAAATTGCGCAAGATGTGGCGCGTAGCGGAAGGAGACTTTTCGTCAGTCGAGTCACTCTTTAGTGAGCTCGATTAAGAACGCTGTAAATTTCCACACACAAAAGTACCTTCACCGTGATGTTGTTAACGAGGAATTAGTAATACTCATGGTTTTGGGGGTTTTGCCCTCGGAATATTACGGTGCCCAGATTGTGCTGGAAGCATCTACATTCCGATTGGCTGAAGTTGAGGCCGAATTGACTACGATCTTCGGATCGAAGAAATAAATTTTGGGTATCGGCCAATCAAATGGCACGAAGAAGTTCGAAGTGAACCAAGTGTCGGAAAAGAAGCGAAAATCCGGAAATTGCGCAAGATGTGGCGCGTAGCGGAAGGAGACTTTTCGTCAGTCGAGTCACTCTTTAGTGAGCTCGATTAAGAACGCTGTAAATTTCCACACACAAAAGTACCTTCACCGTGATGTTGTTAACGAGGAATTAGTAATACTCATGGTTTTGGGGGTTTTGCCCTCGGAATATTACGGTGCCCAGATTGTGCTGGAAGCATCTACATTCCGATTGGCTGAAGTTGAGGCCGAATTGACTACGATCTTCGGATCGAAGAAATAAATTTTGGGTATCGGCCAATCAAATGGCACGAAGAAGTTCGAAGTGAACCAAGTGTCCGAAAAGAAGCGAAAATCCGGAAATGAAGTTAATACGAAGAATGGAGAGTGTTTTTACTGCTTTCGGCAAGTTTAACACACACATATGGGGTCTCGCACTATAAGGCAGACTGCCCTGAAAAGAAAACGGACTTTGTGACGAAAGGTATCGAATCGTTCGAACATCAACGAACCCATTTAAGCCGATTAAGAAACAACGAAAGGAGTTCAGGTTGTTGACATGGTGGAAGCCTACGCTGGTTATGGTCCCACTATGGCTAGTGGTGATCTCTCACTGTGGCTGTCTCATCTAAGGAGTTTGAACGAAACGTCAAAATGATGATATGACCCCTTTCAACTCTCCTCCCGGGGCGAATTATGACCTTGAATTAAACAATGGATTCATATGGACTTTGGGGGAATTAGTTAGGAGGATAAAGCAGTTCCTTCAAACATTAGTACATACACTCTTCGTGGCCATCCTCGCGGGTGCCCAGTTCTAGATTGAAGCTCGATCTATCGGGTGAGCTACGTGGAAGACATCGTCAGGTGGGGAGTTTGGCTGGGTTAGTAATTTACATTATACTTAATGGGGTTGAGTTTCCAATGACTAACAACCTACTAGTGTTTCTTCTAGTAATACTAGTAACTATACTACTAGTAATTACTGGGAGGGGGAGGAAATATCTGGAGCGTTCGGTGGCACAGATACGTGGTGGCTGGGCGAAACTTCCGAGCCAATCAGATGGCTTGAAAAGGTTTCGTCACCAATCTGGGACCAAGGCGGTGTAAAAACACGACGGAGGGGGGATGGGGAAGGCCTCTTGAGTTGTGGAGAGGCGGTCAAAGTGCACCCATTGACTTTTTGGATGCGGAGTGTGCGGAAGCGCTTGACGAGGATCGTGTTTTTACGGCTCCGGGGTCGTTTTGGGTGGTCGGTGCGGCCGGGCGACGTGGGGGCTATGGTCGCGCTATGGTCACGACATG